ATTAACGGACTGCGTCATCCTCGAACGCCAGTCTCGTTTGTACGCAGCCCGAGTCTTAGTGGGGGAGGGCCCCTCACTCTCGGTGTGGATGCCAAAGAGGGCCAAAATTTCCCTATTGACACTGCTAGTTTAGCAGTGGTCACGGCACCAATAGGTGTCAATGGAGAAACACGGCAAGAAATACCAGTGCTCCTAGACGATGACACTATAGTGTCATTAACAGCGTCGACCCATGAACGAACTCTTGGAGGCGTCATAGGCGAGCTGGATGCTAAAAGCGTGAACGAAGCTCAGCGCTTTGTGGATGAGCGATAAGCCATCACACGTAAAGTCCGTGACGCAATGGCAAGAGAACAGGACAAGCAAAAATAATATGCAGACCAGCATGGTCGCAAAAACAATGAATACTTTAGTGTGGGACAAAGTGCGATTAAGTACTGCTACCCTACCTAAACATGCAACTTCTGTACTACCTGGTGGTACTACTAAGCTATTGCCCCGATTCATTGGGCCCTTTACAGTGGTTGAAAAAGTTGAAGACCTAAATTATAGGCTCACTCTCCCACCGTATATGAAGACGCACCCCGTATTTTACGTGTGTCGTCTGAAACGGTATGTTGATCCAGAATTGATCACATATCCACATCGGTCTAACGAGACCGATGGTGACGTCGACTGTGAGTCGAGCGTCGCGGCCGATCAGACGACGAAGAAGCCGAGAGGCTACCCGTATAGTGAGGCGATAGAGGACTCGGTGTTCGTGGAGAACTACGCTCTTGACGCGGGTCTCTCATCACCAGTTGCTCTAAGATGTCCAAACAGATCTTCAGGCGGTCATACTCCTGACGGTCCCTCGTCCTCACATCGCGCAGATCCAAAGTCAGTCGCGAGACTTGAATCTCGAGATCCGCCACCTGCCTCTTCAGCGCAGCAGACTCAGCCTGCGACTGAAAAGCAGCAGGGTAGGCAGCCGCGAGTAGGTTGGCATAATCGCCATTGTGTTGGTGGATACGTAAGGGAATACGCGCTTTCTTGTTGGAAGGCTGTTGGCCCACCGGTTTGTGAAGCGAAAGCTCCAAATCCTTGTCCAGTGGAAGGGTTACCCAACGAGCTTTGACTCATAAGAGCCTGTGGACGCTATGCGCGTCGACGTGCCTGGGCTGGTGGCTGCTTATATGAAGCAGCACCAGCTGTCGTCTTCCTGCTAGGTCCGGATGAACTAGCAGAAAATGCGTGGCGAGAATCAATTGGGGTTCACTTACCACCCAAGATTCCATACGCACGCTTCATGGCGAAGCTGATTCGCTGCGACCGTTGTTTCGTTGCATCTACATGCAGCGTTACACGGCGCCGAAGTTCAGCTTCATATTCGTCGGCTGCTTCGTTAGAACGCAGCACGAACGGAATTGGGAAAGCACGACCAAGTGCTTTGCCCTGCTTTTTTCACAAGGGAAAGACGCTATAAACTTATGAGCGTCAATAGTTGCACGCTGCAAAAGCGCTGCACTAGACCCCTTCGAGTTTCTCCACTCAGATGGAGGTGGAATTGGTGGTAAGCCACCACTCACGTAGCCGCCCTCGCGACGGCGGGCTAGTGAGGCCGACGGTGTACTTGGTGGAGCTTTAAGCTCACACTCACCTGAGTCTGACTCTCCATTATGGTTGTCAAGACATCAGCATGAGTAGTCACATCTGACTGAGTCGCTACTACTCCTTTCGAAGTAGCGTGCTCAGTCTTGGTCGCTGCTCTCGTAGGCGCAGGCGACGAGGCTTTACCTTCGCTTGTAGGAAGCATAGATGCTACCTCAAGGACGGGTGCCTCGAATGAAGGGGACATATGTCCCATCAATGCTCTTTTCTCATCTCCACTTTGTGGTGATGGCAATGGTGTAGTCTCATTTTAATCTATAGTAAGAGATGGATCTTCATCCACATTAGCGTGAGATGGGAGATTCACCTCAGTGCCTGAAGCACTTTACGAGGGCTGCGATAAATCGCGGCGCGTGTGCTTAGTGTTGGACTGCATGGGTGCCTTTGCAGGCGACCCATCAGCCTTACCACTTTCGGTGGCATGAGAATTAAGTAGACTAAGCGGCGCGTTTATAACGGCTCGCAAGTCTCTCTGTCGCCTAGGCGATGTTTTACAAAATGTAAAAATCGTGCTAAAACGGGGGATGGTGTAACAGGGCATCTAGTTACACGCAAACATTAAGTATTATACTTAATGTTTGGCCTAAAAGTATCCATGATTACTTTTGACCTGTCACTTGGGTGCGATACACAAATGTGATCCACCCTCGTGAATGTGATATCCATTTATGGATTCACATGAGAAGGGATGACGCCAGTTAAAGCTAGGCATCGCGACGTCTCAGAAGGACGTCATTCGCAAACTTAAATCTACATTTAAGTTCATGCGACAGGATACGCTTCTAAAGAGTCGCGTATCCGATCTATATACATATATAGCCAATCAGTAGTTAAGTTTATATTTAATTATATATTTAATGAATTATAGCTCAGTCTTAAATTTAGCAAATTCAAGGCTGAGCTCAAATTCATTAAATATAGCTCAGTCTTGAATTTGCTAAAACACCGAAGCACCCCGCACGAGAAACTGAAAAAGCCTCTGCGTGACGCCGGTGACTTCTTGTTTAGAAGTTCGTTGCACTCTCGCTAAATGGAGGCAACTGGTGGTAAGAGTCGACCAACCGCATATCCACCCTCGCACGCGAAGATAAGACGGTCTAACCGCTTCCTCGCTTGTGCTGAAGGTGTGTGCTAGTAGCACGAGGCAACTTCGTAGAAGTGTTAATGCAGGTATACCTGCTAAGGAACAAACGTCTACAAAAGAGGTTAGTCTTTTCAATTCTGGTGAACTTGTCTGCGACAGGCACCACATTTCCACTATATTCTCTCTCCTTTTGTGACTTTCCAGAGCAGGAACGGTAGGGCAACTAGCGTAGATAGGGATGCATAGAAGAAAAAAGATAGCAAAGATAGCACAAAAATCATGATTATTTAAAATTCTAGCTTTTACCTCTTCCAGATCTCGCTCTCGGTCAGTTTCGGCTGAGCAGTCTCATTCTCTCCGATAGGATTGCGAAGCTCCAAAAGTGTCATTAAATCCCAGAAACGCAACTGCTCTAGATGGTCTCTCAGCTCCTGCTCCAGCTTTTCGACATCCTTTACTATCTAGGTATGTTATACACTGTGTAGATTTACCTGGTGTTAGACATGTCGTAAACTTGTTTAGTCAGTGCTATAGCTTCCACTTATAACACAAAGGAAACAATTTTACGACATGTCTAGAACTTTTGGGCCGGGTCCAACAAATAAAGGAGTCATGGACTTATTTTCTTTTCAGCAGTCTGAACCTTAGGGCTGGACCTGCCTGGTTTTTTCTATCCAAGTTCTCTTATGTACAATACACATAATCCGATAAGTTATACCCTCTAATAAGGTATGGATATTGTCGTCCACCGTACCTGACTTACCAGCAGATGATAATGAGCTACATTGCATCATTATTTGCTGGTAAGTCAGCATGGTGGAAGCGTCACAACGAGGTATTCGCAGCTTTGCTTGGATTCGCCAGCGCAGCATCATCTAGAGCCATTACAATTGGGGTACATTAAATCGCTGTGCACAGAGCTCTCTCCGTTAAGTTGTAGGTGTTCACCCGTGACACATCAAGTTTATAGCCTATTCATAATTAGACCTATTTCTTTGCAAAGCTAGACCTATTTCTTTGCAAAGCTAGACCTATTTCTATAAAGAGATAGACACAATTTAAGCAAAATGATGCTTATAGAAAGAGGTATAATGTTGCTTAGAAATGGGACTTAGAAAAACACGATCTATTTTTATAAAGAGCAAGACATATTTCTATGGGTATAGTTTTGCTTAGAAATGGGTCTTGCAAAAACAAGACCTATCTTTATTAAGAACAAGACCCATTTCTATAGAGAGCTAGACCTATTACCTTATTCTACATGCAAAAAAAAATCTCTTCTAGTTTTTTGTACCGTGCACTCTACTTGCTATGATGCAATTTGTATGAGAAATTGCGAGTAATCGACTTCCTTCCTATAATGATCCAGTGGCCGCTTCATCGTTTACATTGTAGAGATCGCCTTCTCGGTAGCAACTGGCTAGCACGAGCGTTTTATCGTCTTGTCTTTATTCTCGCGCATGAGCTTCCTTATTCCGTAGTCACAGCCCTTTTGTGCTACAGGTTCACGATCTCGTCACCGTCGCTTTTCTCTTCATCATTCTCCTCGCTGCGAACTAGCCTTCCCTATGCCTCTGTCTGTCTTCAGCCCAAGTCGGAAGCGTGGTCTTGTATTACAATCCAGCTATTTGTAGTACGGCTATGAGAACGGCACTACGTTCAGCGTGAGAACATCTTGTGAAAGTTGGTCAAGATCCTTGAGCTTCATCGTCATCGTCGGCGATAATTCTGCACCGGCCTCTTACGCGGGCATTTTGTACGTTGCGGGCCGGACTGTTACTATAATATTGCTTCATCGCACTTGTAAATTGCAACTCCCAGCATAATCTAGAGCCATTACTTGGAGTACAACAAATGGCTGTGCACCACGGCCTGATGAGAATGACAATTGAAAATTGCATCAAGAATTGGGATTGTAGGACGTGCGATTCGCACTAGGACAAAGAAAGATTTGAACGCCTTTTGCGAATTATACTAAATAGACTAAGAAATTAGAATCGTTCATCTGTAGCGTCTATTCTATTGTTTCTCTACTTTCTAAAGCATTGTATATTTGATTCAATATCTTGTTAAAAAAACTAATCATTTTCCAAAATGAAAGCGCTACTTATCTAGGTATATCGAAATCGGATTGGTCAAAATATAATTTGCATTCCTCCAGCACCTTCAACAAGTTAACACCTCCAATGAGATATCCTTTGAGATGGCTACCAAATAAAACGTTTGGTGTGGATCACACCATGTACGTCACTCTACTCTCCACTTCATGTTCCGCCGCGGTCTCTCCTCGCTGACCGCCAAGCCGTCTTGGGTGCGTCCAGGCTCATACGATTATCTTCGTGAAGTACTCGAGAGTCATGTATATGATGTGGCTATCCAGACGCCACTGCAGCTTGCACCGGCGCTAACACAGTCGCTACCAGGCAACTGCCGTCTCTTTCTAAAGCGCGAGGTGCTGTGTGTCTGTCCTTTTTGTTTATCTGCTGTCCACGCACTGACGAGTACTACTTGCTTCAGGACATGCAACCAACATTCTCATTCAGCGTACGTGGTGCTTACAACAAGATTGCCAACTTGACGCCGGCCCAGCGAAAAAAGGGCATCGTGGCTTGCGCAGCTGGTAATCACTTGGAAGGCGTGGCTTACGCTGCTGCTAAGCTAGATGTGGACGCTATTGTCATCTCGCCTGTTGGAACGACGCAAAACGTGTCTTACTTTACTAAGAACAAGATTACGATCGTCGAATACGGTGCAGATTTTGATGCATCACTGGTGCGTTGGCGATCGAAATTTGTTGCAAGTGGGAGTGTTCTGATGTGACTTGACTAATGCCTTTTAAATGCAGAAAGAAGCGTTTCGAGTTGCGCAAACTGAGGGTCGATCTCTTGTCCACCCGTTCGACGACCCGCTTGTGATCGCTGGCAATGGCACAATTGGTATGGAGATCCTGAAAGAGGTATAGGCGCAACTGATGTAGCCAAGTTGTTTTTGTGTAGATGCTCTGCTCAATGATGTTCATGTCTGAGCAGACGGCTGGAGATCGCCCTACAGCGATATTTGCCCCTGTTGGAGGTGGTGGATTGATTGCTGGCCTTGCCGCTTACGTGAAAGAGGTGGCGCCCGATGTCAAAATTATCGGCGTGGAGGCTGAAAGTGCCAATCTTTTAGAGATATCGCTGCAGCAGGGCTTGCCTGTAGCTTTCTCGAGCGTTAACCGCTTTACAGATGAAGTGGGCATCAAGAGCATTGGAACGGAGAACTTCCGGCTGTGCAAAGATCTGGTGGACGAAGTCATTACCGTATCGACTGACGAGATATGCTCTGCGATCAAGGATGTGTTTGGCGACACGCGCTCGCTCATGGAGCCCACCGGTACGTGCAAGTGATTGACACAAATAATTTTGTATACGCAGACTTCTTACAGTCTGCTGCAATTGCTACGCAGGTGCAATCAGTGTTGCTGGTGCGAAAAAGTACGCTCAAGTAAAGAACGCCCAGAATGAAAAGTACGTGGCAGTGCTCGCTGCTGCAAATATGGACTTTGACCGATTGCGCTTCGTTTCGGAGCGTTCGGATGATCGCGAGCGTTTCTTGGCCGTCAAAATTCCTGAGCAGATTGGTAGTTTCCAGGATCTCTACAACGTCATCTGTACGTTCGCGACGAAATAAATTTGCAGGCGGTTGCGGACTCAGCATCACTAATCTGCTGTGTACATGGCTTTCTATTTCGCACCAGTCCCTCACAACGTGACCGAGTTCTCGTACCGCATGGACTCCGAAGGTGATAACGAAGCACGCATCTGCATGAGCATCCAGACAAAGACGCAGGACGAGTTTATAAACGTCGTGAAGGCAATCAACGGGCGCGGCGACATGCATGCCATTGACTTGGCCTCAAATGAGTTAGCCAAGTCGCACCTGCGCCATCTAGCTGGCGGTCGTCCAAAAAACGTGTGTGCTTTGCTTATGGTGAGGCTGCGATGGTGTAATGTGTGCTCACTCGTGAACATTTTGCGCTGTTTATTATTTAGGTCCCAAACGAACGTCTGTTTCGATTGGAGTTTCCAGAGCGTCCCGGTGCGCTCAAAGACTTCCTTGAAGCTCTCAGGTGCGTCAATTCGTTGCTGTAATTGCTGTTCTGTATCTTTGAGCTGCAAAAAATAATTGACGCTATCTCTGTTAACGCAGTCAATCCTCTCGTCAATGGAACGTAAGTCTGTTTCACTACCGCAATCATGGCGCAGATATCGGCCGTGTACTCGTCGGATTCCAAGTGCCACCAAAGGATAATGCGACCTTCGACGCGTTTCTTGGCCAAGTTGGCTTCCGTTGCGAAGAGGAGACTGACAACCCAGCGTCCATGTACTTCCTGCACTAGAAACACTATAGATTTTGTCTGGAAGTGATGAACGTTCCCATCTTGTCTTCCTATTGGTCAATATACGCCTCGTACCCGGTCCGTGGCCTGCCGATATAATGTTGCGGGTCGTAAACAAAACCAAAACCCGTGGGCTTTGCGGGTTTGACCCGTACAATAATATTAGCCAATCGGCATCTTCCCCTTGGAAGATTTCCTCCCCAGAAACAAGAAACGGCAAGAAAGAAGACTTGACCGCATTCGACCCCTCGTTTCTCTCGGTCCTCTTATCTCGAGCAGCGCTTTAAAACGCCTGAGCAGTAGTGGACTGGGTAACGCGTTGTCTTCTGCGTGTGTAGAGCCCGTGATCGTTCTCGTAGAGGTTCTAGAGACCAAAAAACAGGAAAAAACAGAGAAAAACCGAGATGCAGACGACTGGCGTCGGCGTCGCGCCGCGCACACCGCCCAGTGACAGAGAAAAAAAGATGATGGACGTGCTTATGCAAGCACCTGATGAGCGTGTCGCACCGTTGCTGGCGTGCGTCAAGGGGTGGCCTATGGAGGCCCAGGCAGACTTGGCCAATTGGCTTCCCGTGCTCTTGAAGCTACACAGACTGCTGTTGTCTGCAATGGAGAAGTGTCCTGTCTTATTATTCATTCGAACAGAGCTGGAGAAGACAGAGGAGGTGCTGGTAACCAAGCAGACGGAGCGGGAATTGACGGAACAAGTGGTGGAAATCGTAAAATTCTCTGGATTTTTACTGAAAAATGCAGCAAATAAAGCTGTGTACCCATCTATTGAACCCGTGATGGCCTTGCTAGCAGCAAGGAATGAACGGGTCGTAGCGGAAGCTACAAAGGTGGTAGCTATGCTGGCTTTACCTCCTCAAGTTCATCGTTACGCTGCCGACCCCGTAAGTTTTGTAGACCCTGCAGCGGCCAGAAATAATCATTTAAGACGACGGTTGCTAACGATCGCACAAGGACGGGGAGCGCCGAAAAACAGCTTGGAAATTGTGGATTATCTGAATGGAACGAACGCTGAGACAGTTCAGGAAGTGGAGTTCCAATTTTACAGTTCAGACCAAGAGGGGGAAAACTTGACGTCTCGTGTGGTGAGTGTCGTGGTCCCGCCCTATGAAGAGGTGGTGACAGCGACCACGACTTTGGAAGACGCTGCGTGTGCAGCGGCTACAGCGTGTGAGCATTTGATAGTGCAGCACAAGATCCCAAAGAGGCTGCATTTTCAACTATACACACAAGTGCGTGCGTGTTATGCGTCTCGCAGTACATTTGCAAGAGAAAATTTGGTGGTAGATCGACTGCACGCGCTCCTTGCGCTTTTTTCTCTTTTCAGTGATGCGTGGGACGTAACGAATTACGTGGAAAAATATCCAGAACTAACAAGGGGAATTGTGGAGCTCATTCGCGTCGAAAATATTGAGCGCGTGCCTGTGCGTGTGCGTGTCACAGCGTTGCTTGTACTTACCGCTTTGGTGAACGATCGGGTTGGCCGAGGAGGAGGTATAGGTGTGCTTGGCCGCCAGTCCAACGTATTTCAAGCTTTGGGGGTTGTAAAAGGGACCCCACACGGTATTTTCCCTTCGCTTGTGCGCTATTGTATGACCGAGCTGGGTGACGTTACCACGCAAGATTCTGCGACAGCAACGTCAGTTTTTGCGTCTCCACCCCCGGTAGCATCGGAAACTGCTGATGCAGATATGGATATGAGCCTAGCTGTTGCTTTCGTGCAGGCTACAACAGATTTAATATCCCCTCAGGAAGCTGAGATAATTAGGGCACCTTCAATCCGAAGTACTAGTGGTGGAAGTATTCAGGAGACACGGCTGTGCTGGATGGAGGGTGTTTTAGGACTACTGACGGCTGTGGTAGCAATTCAGTCTGGTGCCGCTGTTTTAACGGAAAATGGGATCGTTCCGGCCCTTTTGCATGTGCTCACAATGCCCGCGGTGAGCGCTTTTCACGTGGCCGTGATAACGCAATGTGTGCAAGCGCTGGAAAATATTGTGAGTAGTCACTCGGCAGCATCTGCGCTTTACCGGAACCTAAACGGAGTTGGAATACTGGTGGATCGACTCAAGCTAGAATGCGCCAGTCTTGTCGGGCTTTCAAAGAGCTCAACAAACTCGTCTGTGGTTTGCTCTGAAACAAAGACCGTGCTATTACTAGCCATCTTAGCGTCGTTATCAATGTCGTTTCATGCACAAGGTGTGATGAGTGCAGGGGCTACGAGCCGCGCTATTCGTGAGGGAAGCGCTCTTAACAAAGCATTACTTCAAGTGCTGTCCAATGTGGACGTATTTGGACCAGCTGTATTTGCTCAGGCGGCAATCGTGGTCTCTGATGTTATCAACAACGATCCGAGCAGTGTGAATCATGTCCATGCTACTGGCTTGGCAGATGCGTTCTTGCAAACACTTACGCGATGGAATGTTGCAGAGTTATACCCATCTCGGATTCTATTACCGCTGTCAAGTGAACTGCTCACGGCAGTTCCAACAGTGTTGAATACTTTGTGCTTAACAACTACACATGCGGAAAAAGTGGCAAAGGCTGAACCACTCATGCACTTGTTGGACGTTTTCGCACTTCCGCAATACACCGAAGAAGAATCCAAAGATTGGTGCTTCCATGGTGATACGGCGGCTGTCGTTGGTACCGGTATTTTTGAACTAATGCGACACGTTCCAAGTTTCCAAAATGCTGCTATTCAAGCTGCTGTCCATGCAATAAAAAAGGTGATTCGTTTTGGCGAAGAAAGCAATTTAATGGCTCCCCTCAATGTCAAGGCCAACGGTATTTTAATTCGAATGACGACGCATGTGGCAGATTTGTTGGAGCCTTTGCTATCCAAATCCGAGCACGCTGCTTATTTTGCGGACCTAAAAGGCATTCAGCTGCTTTTAAGACTATATCAGCTAATCTTGCCAAGCACTACGTCCTTTTTAAAGAGTGCTCTGCCTAGCGAAAGCACCACTCGAGGCAGGCTTCCCAAAAGCACCCTGTCTCATGATCCAGCGGTGCAGTCTATTACTCTTGTACTTCGTTCGTACGCATCCCAGCAACCCACTAATCTTCTCGGGGCTGTTGTAAAAGAACTGAATTTACAATTGAACAATCTTCAACGTGCGCGCACCAAGGTTGGACTACCGTGGGCCCTAGGCGAATGCGGTGAGGGCGCCGAAACGGTGCTGAGCTCATTACCAAATGTCGATTTGGCAAAACTGACATATGTACATGATGAGAGTACTGCCACGGAACCCGCTGTTGCCAAGGTGGTGGTTGTAGATGAATATCTACGAGTGTTGTCTGTGCTGGAATGGCTTGCGTCCGTGCTCACCTGGACGCTGGAAACTGCGCACACTCATACTCAGAGCCGGAGATGGTTTGCTGATTTCACAGCGTCTTCAACACAAGAAGTTATGACGCGCTTGTTCCGTGTGGACCGTTCTGTTCAGTTTGAAAGGGCAAGTCTTGCGACACTACACCAGAAGATGCGAAAACAGAAGGACATCAAGGTACAGAAGACAGAGTTTGATGATGGCCAGCGCAGCGGCATGGAGGCGACTGAAGGGGCTGAAGAGGATACATTCCATTCATTAGCCGCCGAACGCGGTTGTGGGGAATCAGGCCTTTGGAAAGTGGGCTCTCTTCTTCTTCTGCGCTTTTCGTTGAGCATGCGCAGCTTATTAACGGCTTGTAATAAGGTTTTTCTATCGGCTTTGATGCAGCAGCACCGAGGGGACGATACCGCGGTACCTCTAGCACCTCATGCTCGAGCACTCGCACGGATGGTTGCGCAGGTTTTAGAAAGCCATCTTTTTTATGTCGTTTCAGTGTATCGTGCGACACAGATTGACACATTCGTGCAGCAGTACTACCTCACGTTCCTTTTGGAGACGATCTCAATTGTGCTTTTCGAGGGAAAGAAAAAGCAAGCTAATACTTTGTTGCTGGTGGAGCTCATGAAGCCCATAAGTGAAGTTTCGGAAGTTTTGACCGAACCTTCCCGATTACTCAATGAAGATGTTGCAATGGTTTACGAAAACGTCTGTGAAAGAAAAAGCGATGCTGTCCTGCCTGGCAAAACTATCGCCACGTGCGCTGGTGCTCAAGTCATAGCTTCAAACCTGATGGATGTGATCATGAATATCATTGAGCGTTTCTTCACTGTTTGTCTCGAAAGTGAGAGTAGCTCTAGTGGTGGCAAGCCCTCGCAGATGGCGTTGACGTCTTTCCACATTGCAGCAAGTGTTTTACGAAAACTGTCCAACCTTGAAGCGCTGTCTGCGTCACCGTTGACAGCAGCGTTGCTTTCTAGTGATAAAGCAGGTGAAAGTGATGAAGCTCCATTTCAGCCTCAAAGACTTACAGTACAATTGCATGCAATGTGCGTTCGTGCGCTACTGTCAATTTGGAAGCACCCAAAGTTTCTGACTTCGTCTGTGGATTTATGTATGGCGGAGGTGATGCCTATTGCCGTGACCGTACTAAAGAATCGCATGGATAGTAATGATGAAGCTTTGGGATTGGACAGCGAAAATGAGCTAAGCGGTCTTTGTCGTCGACAAGAATTGGGCTTTAGTCGCGGCAATTCTAACAGAAACTCCGGCACCGAGCTCTACAACGAAGCATTATCTCTTCGAAGAGCACTCTTTGGAGGGACACTCGAAGGGACATCCGCCGGGTATGGGCGTTTGTCGTTCGTACCGGATGCTGAAATTGTCGAGAGCTTGGTTTCTATGGGCTTTCCGCAGCCACAGGTTGAGCGGGCATTGCGACAAATCCAAGTGAACAATGTGGAGCTGGCAATGGAATGGATTTTGAACCACCCCGAAGACGAAAGTGAGCCGGACGTTGGTGAAACACAACATGCGCAGGACGACGACAGTGCGGCTGCAGAAAGTACCCTTTGTCGAGATGAAGCAGCAGCAACGGGGGGAAAAAAGATGGAAGAAGACTTGCAAGCGCTTTACATTTTGTTGCGAGACAGTTTTGAGACAGTGTGCTTTGAAATCTTACGTATACAAGCTGCCAAAGAAAAACATGAAGATGTGAAGTATGCGAAAGGTTTGGAGGCCGAACGTAAATTGTACCCGAGTCAAAATTTGGTTAAGGCAATCGCAGAATATTTCAATTTTCTGTGCTCACGCTCAGATGAAGACCGTGATTTGGTAATTAGGCATCTGAATGCTGCTATTTTGGATTACTTCAATGGAGGTGAAGAAGACGCGGATGAGTATTTGACCATGCTCACCCACCTATTAGCTCTTGTGCTTCAGCTAAATTCTGGCTCTTGGGCCGTGATGCAAGTTCAATTTCCTTCGTGTATCGAAAAGCTCGTAACATACGTTTCAAGTGCTGATATCACTGAAAAGGGTTTTCTAAAGCCATCATGTACGCCAGTACTATTAGCTCTTGACGCAGTAGTAGCTGGGATGGCAGCAAAGCGATTATCTACGACAGTCGCATCCTCTCTTGATGATACTTTCGTGAGGAATGCGGACGACCCTGAGAACAAGTCGAAAGGACACGGTCGAAGCGATGACAGTGGTGTAATGAACCGTACTGAGGACTTTGCATTCGAACAGCAACTTGTTACAATTTGCTTGCAAATACTGAAGCGGGCATCGTCAGTACTCTCAACGAATGCTAGCAAATCGGCTGCTCACGCCATTTGGCAGCTTCTGTCGCGCTTGACTTTGAATTACGATCTGGCGTCTTATTTCTTGGCGCATGGTGGTCTCGATGCTGTGTTGGATATCCCGGAAAGTGTATTTTTTGTTGGATATCAAGAACTGACGGGTATGTTGCTCTCGCAGGCACTAGAATCTCCTGAAGTTTTAGAGCATATGATGGAAGAAAAAATTCGGCGTGCAATTACAAAGCTGTCAGCACGATTACCAAACCAGATGCGTATCACGCCGCGTGCGTTATTAACAGAAGTCGCTCCTTTTGCCGCTCGAAATGAATTTGTGTTTCTTAAAGCATTGCAGAAGTCGGTGCGGGTGAAGAAAACCGAGTCAGGCCGGACATACGTTGTATTGAGACAGTTAAATGCTGATAATACCGTTACACCAATAGGACAGGTTTCGCAACCTCTCTTGCCTCAAGATGGCGCGACTAGTGAAGCAAAATCTTCACATAAATTTCCCAAGGATCACAAACATCATGCTTACGCTATTGTGCACAAAATAATTGGTCGCATCAGTAAGTTGTGGATCGTTGAAAAACACGCCAAGAAACAGAAAATTATATCGGGTGACGAGATTGAAGCTACATCCGCAGGAATGTGTGTGGGTGTGTACATGCAGTTACTAGTTCATCTGATTACTTACTTCCCAGCATGCGCGACAGTCCTGGCTAAGGCGAAAGATGAAGCTGTTTTGCATGGAGAGCGCGTGAGCTTTATTCGATTGGTGCTCTGCGAGTTTTTACCTTCTCGTGAACTCTGTCAGTTCGTGGCATCTCGTAAGGCGCTGAAGGAAGACGGATATTACGGTAACAGCAGAATTGGCAGTGCCGATATAGATCTGCTTGTCTCGGATGTTAAAGCATTCGTTGACTGTCGTACAAGGTTGCGTGTGTATCATGCACATAGACTATTAGTGAGCATCGGCAGCCATTCAGGAGAAGGTTCAAAGTGTGTTATCTTAGACCTTGTCCACTTGCTTCAAAAATGGCCACAATTTGATGATGTGGATTTTTCCATGGAGAGCTTCGATTTGAGTGTGCGTGATGAACGAGCTTTGAGCTCTTTGCACGCATGGTCAGGTTTGATCATGAGTATATTGTGGCCTAAGGGTTCTTCAAAAGGATTCGCCTGGGATAAGGTCGTGCTGGGAGGAGGTCTTAAGGGCAAACATTCATTTGTGACGCTACTTGCCGAAGCTCTTCGAAAAATTGACTTGACGCACCCATTGGCACACGCTACCTGCACGATGCTGTTACGCCCATTATCGACGCTGACGCGTTCATTTGTGACTCACCGCATAAGGCGTTTGCTAAAAAAGCGAAACAACAGCTCCACCATCGTGGGCGATACGACTTTAGCAAGGGGTAATCAAAATCAGTCCCTTTCGGGCGTAGAGACGTCGACCTCAGCTGAAGCAACTACAATTTCAGCTTCATCGTCACTGGAGGATAATCGTGATACATGGCAATCTGCTAATCGGGACGACAGCATGGTGGTGGATATAAATCTTCAAGATGCAGCAAATTCCCGTGGTACTACATTTTATCCGCTGGGTGAAGGAGATGACGACATTTCGATGCAATCTCCGCTTTCTGAAATGGACAACAACGATATACGTGATGAGGACGAAGACCATAGCGGAGATGATCGCAGCAGTGTTTCAGACCATTCTACGGATGAAGGGGAAGGTGAAGAAGATGACGACGACGACGAGGATGATGATGACGATGACGAGGATGATGATGACGATGACGAAGATGATGATGACGAGGATGAAGATGATGATGAGGATGAAGATGATGAAAATGAGTTTGAAGAACACCAGCGTTTACACATGTCTCGTCGTATAGGTGATCACGGATCCAGTCGCCGCTCATCTTCAAATTGTCTTTGGGGATCTCTCGACTCGGAGCTGTCGATTCTGGATGCATTGGACGAGGTTAACGAAGACGAGTTTTCTTATTTGAACATATTAGATGATGAGGCTTTCTTTGCCGAAGAACAACGGCGTCGCACTCGTCTGGCCGCTGCTCAAAATGCCAGATCGAGTAACAGCTCTAGCGAAGGGAACCAGCTAGCAAGGAACTCTGAGGACAGACTGGTAGAGTCCATGCGCGATGCATTTGGGCTGTATAACAGCAGTGGAAGTGGGCCCCGTCCCGCCTCTAGTGGACAGACTCTCGTGTTGACATTTGGCGATGTAGAAGACGATGCCGAAGTGGGCGATACCCAAGAAGATCTTGCTGCCCCAAGAAGTCGCCTGCGCAGTGAAAATGGATCTGGGCATTTTTCAGGTTCGCAAAGCCGATTGGAGAGTAACTCTGGCAGTATGGCTACTTCACTACTTCAGTATATTGAAGAGCTACCAGATATGCTCGATGACGATTTTCCCTTCGAATCATTTGATGCAAGTGGTAGAGGTAATAGATCACGTCGCGAACGTAGCACCAGTTTGTCGTTGGGGTCCCGCACGAGTATTGATCAATTTGGTTCGGACACCACCACTACACATCCACTGCTGCGCACGCATAGACGTGGAGATTCCATCGTTTTGGATGCTAACGGCTTGCTGCGCGATCCCGGTCGATATTCGCTGCCTCGACATTCATCTCTGTTGCGGGAGCTGCGCGAGCTGACTGACCAAGTTCAAACACAGCTGCCGCTTGGTGGGAGTAGAGTACGACTGATACCGAGACATGAAATATTGCAACGCGAAACAAGAAATCGAGGACGACCGCCAAGTCATACTAATCGTTTGTCTTCTTTATCCCATCTGCTCCACGAGTTTTCGCTGGACATTCCGACCTCGGCACTGCCTTCACGGAACCAACGTCTCGGTTTCCGACAAAGCGAACGGGACACCTTTAGTGATGTTTTCGTGGGCATGGATTTATCCCGTGGCCTTAACAGTCGAGGTGGCGACATAATTGGGGGTACAGCGTCTAATACGACAATTTGGGGACCAAGCGGTGTCAGTCGTGATGTAGATGTCCGATCGGTGGCGACACGACTTGAACAACAATTTACGCGCATTTGTGCGGATGACGAGGATGCTACTGTAATCCCTGCTGCTGGGCGAGCAGAAGGAGAAATCTCCTCTCAACAGGAGGAGGATGTCGACGATATTATGGAAGGAGGAAGCGCTACTGGGACACCGCTGAGTGAAGAGCACACTGCGAGCGAAATTAGGGCACATGAAAACACTGAAGAAAGCGATAATCAACCGGGAATTCCAGCGAACAGCAACAGAAATGAGCAACACGAGGTGGTGACGGAAGCAGCTTCTGTTTTGGAACTTACCAGTACTCTTGGAGAAACATCGCTGCTGCGGTCACCACCTCAATCAGATGTCGATGCGGACATTGTCGATGCAGAGGTGGAAAGTGTAGTAGAAGGCCAAGAGACGACAATGGGCTCCTTATCTGGGGCACCAGGTGGTACTTCTGATAGTATATCTCCGCTCCCCACTCCAGCGTCTGCTTCAGCCACTGCAGCAGCAGCATCTAACTCTTCTGATCCGATGATGAACTTCACTCTCGATCTAACAAGCTTCGGCACGGCCTCTTCACAGCCTATCGCCAGTGACACTAATAACCAAGTTAGGGCAGTTGAAGAGCTGTCACCGATAAGGACACCGACATCATCCGTTGAAGCTGTCGCGCTCGAGTTGTCGACTACATTACTTGATCAGCAGCAACAGGACTACCTTTGCCCTGAAGGTATGGATGCTGAAGTGTTTGCGTCGTTACCTCCGGATATGCAAGCAGAAATTGTTGCGCAGAATGCACCGGCAGTTCCTGAATCCACAAGTGCTCGCAGTGATACAGCCACGACTGGAGGTGGCAGAGGTGGTTCTGAAAGTGTGTCACAGATGGACTTGGATATGGCTAACTCGAGCTTCGATCGTGAGACACTGGAAGCGTTGCCCCCTGATATCCGTGCAGAGGTGTTGGAAAATGAGCGGCGTGAGCGTGAATCTGCCGCTCGCGCGGAATCTGCAGACACGTCTCGCGCTCAAGAAATGGATAATGCTTCCTTTGTAGCTTCGCTGGCACCAGATCTGCGCGAGGAAATCTTGGTCACTTGCGATGATGCGTTCCTGCAGACGCTGCCATCGCAAGTGCGTGCAGAAGCGACTGTTCTGCGTGAACGCGCGGCCTTTCGCTCAGTTTACCGCGAACGTGATCGCCGTACCGAGGGGCGGGAAAGTGGCAGCGGCGAAAATGACATGGACGATTTGTTTAATCGCCCTACTCTACGACGCATGACAACCTCTCACAGCCCAGAAAGAGGTACTAGCCGTCGGCGGTCTCGTATGTATGATGAAATCGGTGGACGTCATAGCAACCGCCGTGGTTATCGTTCAGGGACAGGGAGTTCCACGACTCACAAAGGATTATTGCGTGTAGAGAAGGATGAGGAAGAGGATCCCGGTGAGCGAATCTTCGACGATCGATGCGTGCGCGGCTTGTTGCGGCTTCTCTTTATGACGCAGTCCGTCATACAAAATCGTGTATTTCAGCGACTGCTTGCAAATATCTGCCTTTATCCGTTGACACGATGCAGCATTCGACGTAACTTGCTGCAAGTGATCTCTTTACCGCTTTCAGAGCGCTTAATACCTGGCAATGAAAAAGATGACGACGATGATGGCAGCGGTAAGATTCAATTCCCACCGACCACGATGTATGGATGTGGTATCGGAGGGAACCGTGCTATTGGAGGGAAAGCGGTACCTGCTGAAGTGGTGAACCGCATGTTACATATTCTTGTGTCGCTTGCGAAGTATAATCCGCGTTTCACCGTGGAAATGCTTTCGCCCCACGGTATGCTTCGCGTTTCGAATGAAAAGTGCACGCCAGTGAAGGTAGAGGCGCCGTTCTCCAATGAGTGCGGCGTTGCCGTCTTAATTGACTTGCTGGCATTGTCGGTGGTATATCGCAATGGTACAAACTTAGATGCGTTGCTCGAGTTGCTTGAGCTGGTTTTGTCTCCCCTTGAGCGGTTACACAAATCGGATGTTGACGAGGAGAAGAAGGAAGGCGATGAAGGTGACACATCAAACCTGGAAGGTGGCGGCGAGTGGGTGGCAGTGCCGACGGTGGAGCTGGACGAAGCGCGTATGAGTAAAATCGTGTCTGTATTGAGCATGGACGTGTGTACGATCCAGATGCAGGAGCGCACACTTGCGGTGCTGAAGTTATTGAACCATGTGCGCGGAAACCGCGAGCTTGTCATCAGCGCGATTGTACGGCATGCTAGCACGCTGGCTCGTGTTGACCGGTACAATGGAAAATGTCTACCTTCTGGGTTTGAGTCGTCAGCAGTGCTGCCATTGGCTCAGGATGAGCTCAAGCTGCTACGGCTACTACACTCTTTGTCCGATGTCTGCGAGAGTACTGCAGAATTTACTGAGTGCTGCCAAACTATTTGTTTGGACCCACTGTGGGATTCTCTGAGCTTGTCTCTTACGGAAGCGCGTGCGAAGGGTGATCTTGATGATCACGATAGCAGTGCGTCCGATGCTTTAGCCACCCCTTCTACCATCCAAGCTCCTTCGGCTACAGATTTTAATGGTCAGCCTGGCACAACGGACGATGCAGAGGGAACTGTGATTGAAGGCAAGAGTGCGGGTGCCTCATGCGCGATGGCGGCGCTTTTAGCACGTTTTCTACCCATGGTGGAGGCTTTTTTTGTTGTTAATGCCAGGGATGCGGCATCCATGACGTTGCATTTACCTGATTCTAGTGAGCGCGAAGAAGCAGTTGTGGCAGCCTTGAGTGCTGGTGGATTTGATGGTGCGAATGCAACAGCACTAATGCATGACCAAGAGCAAAAGTCGTCGCCGAAGAGTGCGCTAAAACGCAGCTCATCGGCTTTATCGTCAGTCTCGGAGGCAAATGAGACTATGAGACTGGCAAACTTCGTGGAGTCGAATCGCGTGCTCTTGAACTTACTAGTACGGGAGAAGCCATCACTTCTGGAAACGTCCTTTGCTGCTTTAATAAAGATTTCTCGCTGTCGAGCTTATCTAGCGTTCGACAACAAGCGTACATACTTTCACAGCGCCATGAAACGGCTTCGTCAAGCGGCACTGCGGAACCACGGTGGTGGAAGCTCCTCAGTGCGCATCCCTGTACGCCGCGAGCATATATTCGAAGACTCTTACTATGCCTTGCGTATGCGCAGCGGTACCGAATTGCGACGAAAGCTGCATATTTCTTTCACGGGCGAAGAAGGTATTGATGCCGGTGGAGTCACGCGAGAGTGGTACATGATTTTAGCGCGCGAGATGTTCAACCCAAATTATGTGCTATTCACGTCAGCGGCGGACTCGCCTACTTTCCAGCCGAATCCTCTGTCATATGTGAACAAAGATCACTTAAGTTACTTTGAGTTCGTTGGTAAAGTGCTGGGCAAGGCGGTGGCAGACGGCCAGCTACTTGATGCGCACTTTACGCGCTCGTTTTACAAGCACATCTTGCAGCTGCCAATTTCGTACCACGACATGGAAGGCATTGACCCGGAGTACTACCGGAATCTTCATTCGATTCTAGACAACTCGATTGGAGATCTTGGACTGGAGCTAACTTTTTCAGCAGAGCAATCCAACTTTGGCAAGGTAGAGGTGGTTGACTTGATTCCTAACGGCAGGAACGTGCCTGTAACTGACGCGAACAAGATGGAGTATGTGAAACTAATCACTCATCACCGCATGGCGACTGGTATTCGTCAGCAGATTGATGCTTTCCTGAAGGGGTTTCACCAGCTGGTACCACCCGAGCTGATTGCAATTTTTAACGAGAACGAGCTAGAGTTGCTTATTTCGGGCATGCCTGAAATCGATATTGATGATTTGAAGGCGAATACGGATTACGCCAACTACAAGCCCACGGACTCGGTAATACGCTGGTTCTGGAACGTGCTGTACTCGTTCACACACGAAGAGCGGGCTCTTTTCCTGCAGTTCGTAACAGGTACCTCTAAGGTACCTCTTGAAGGTTTCAAGGCACTGGAAGGTATGCGCGGGACACAGAAGTTCAACATTCACAAGGCGTTCGGTAACAACAGTGCGTTACCGTCCGCACATACTTGGTGAGTCTCGCTCGAATGATTTGTTTCGAGTTGATGCGTACGGATGGCTAACGGGTTATGTTTTTATGCTTCTTGCTGTAGTTTTAACCAGCTGGATCTACCAGAGTATGAAAGTGAGGATAAGTTGAAGCAGTGTCTCCTGCTCGCAATTCGCGAAGGCTCGGAGGGTTTTGGCTTCGGCTGAGCAAATGTGCTTCGACCATTTCAATTGAAGAATATATGGTATTTTTTCTGCTAGATGTGATACTTTTACTTGCTCTCTCACCACTTGAGGCTATCGGTCAAGACAAGCGAAGTGACATCTACCCAGCATGTACACTTTCTCTAGGTAGCTATGAAGGAACCGATGTGGTGAATGAAAACACAGCTAGCTTACGCCTCTACATCTATTTGCGCCGCTTGTACTTTGCCTTGGACTTGAAAGAGCTCGAGCTCTTCTTCGCGTGTTTCTTGAAATCAGTGATTTTCTCCTTGAACTCGAATGGATTGTGGACAGCGTTTCCGTCACGCTGCTTCCGAGGCTTCTGCGCCGAAACACCATCTTGCGCCATGTCAATGTCGAATGCGCCAGGATTGTGGCTGCTACGCGCGGCACGAGCCTTTTCACGGCTACGGCGTTTCCGCTCGTGGATGTCTGCGATAGACTCCTCCTCGCGCAATCGTGCTGTTTCCTGCTGTGTCTTTTTCGCGCGCTTCGCAGCACCGGCAACGTGCATCGATGTGAACGCAGCGCCCTTCTTAATGTTTCGGTTGCCCTCTTCGTCTTCTCGATTAGCATCCGCCAGCATTCGCTCTTCGCGTTCACGGATTTCATACAACCGACGTTTTTTGTGGCTCATAAGCTTGAGCTTCTTCACGCGCGACATGGAGTCGGCAGCCTCAGCGTCTTCCTTTGCAGCCTCCTCCTTGGCGCGACGATCGTCATCAACACGCTCATTCACATTCTTTTTCTCCTTCTCAGACATAAACCACGTGCGTGCAGGACGGGAATTAATCTCGTCGCGGTGCTTCAACATGTTCGTGGCACGAGTAGCCTCCTTCTCGGCTTCACGCATGCGCTTCTCTAGCGTCTCTTCGTGCATTACCAGCTTCATGTCTTCCTGCATACTCTCAATGCGGGCCTTCCATTGCGCGATAACTGGGTCAGGAACAGCACGGGATTTTACGAATCCGTTGCAATGACGCGATATCTGCTTCATTACCAGACGGCGCGACTCGCTAGTTAGCGTGACAGCACGGCCGTTGCGACCGGCTCGAGCCGTGCGACCCACACGGTGCACGTACGTTGTGATATCCTTCGGCATTTCGTAGTTGATAACAGCGTGCACACCGCGCACATCAATACCACGAGCAGCAATGTCGGTACACAGAAGAACGTCCACCGTGCCATCACGGAACTTTTGAAGTGCTTCTAGCCGCTCTCTCTGCATTAAGTTTCCGTGGAGTTCAGCAGCTTTAATGCCCGTAAGTCCGAAAATGATCATCATTCGGTGCGCATGCGACTTCGTCTCCATAAATACAATAGTGTTTGTTCGGAACGTACGTGTGCACAATGCTAGGAGAATTGCCTCACGGTCGTCTTCACGGTTCGGACGAATACGCACAAACTCCTGCACCAAGTGCTTGGCCATATCAAACAGTGGGTCAGTGCTAATACGCACAGGACGCTTCATCGACAGATTAATCAGCTGGTCGACCTTTGATGTCATTGTAGCGGAAAACAGCATCGTCTGGCGCTGCACAGGACACATGCGGACAAGCTCTAGCACCTCCTCTGTAAAACCTAGCTCAAGCAGCCGATCAGCTTCATCCAGCACCAGAATTTCTAGGTCGTCCATGTGAACACTCTTGGAGTTACGCAGGTGATCAATCATACGACCAGGTGTGCACACCACAACGTCTGGACGATTACGCAGCTCAGCTTCCTGAGCCTTTAAGGGGAGACCACCCACTGCCAAAGAGATCGTAATGTCCGTAAAACGCGCCAGCTGCTCGAACATCGACTGACATTGCGTCGCAAGCTCACGCACAGGACAAATAATCATCACTCGCGTTGACTGTACGCGACGCGAACGAAATTGAAGACGTTCCAAGATAGGCAACAGGAATGCGGCAGTCTTGCCACTTCCTGTCTGAGCACTAGCACAAATATCCTTGCCCGTGAGCGCGATCGGGATTGCTCGCTGTTGAATTGGCGTTGGCTTTTCAAAGCCAATGTGCGAGATAGCGCGCATGATCGGACGCGATAATTTCAAGTCTGCAAAGGTCTCAAATTTGGTCTTTGCAAACTCCTGTGCTGCAAATGGATCTGACTCGAAAAACTCGGCGGCCTTTTTCTTCTCCAATGCGTCTACTAGCTCCTCACGAGACAACTGATCATTCTTGTTATCTTTCAAGGCTGACTGCAAACGATCTTCCTCCACCACCACATCCTCTTCTTCTCTCTCCTGCTTCTCCTCATCGTCAGACGAGTCCTTCTCTCCCTCCTTCTCATCTTCACTGTCATGAGATCCTTCCGTCTCCTCCTCTTTCCTCTGCTTGACATCTACCTGTATTTTCTTCTTCTTCTTGTCCTTTTTCACCTGTTTTTCTGTCTCCTTTTCCTGTCGTCTCTTGTCAATCTTATCCTGAATAGACGTACGCTTGGTAACCGTCGGGATCCCGCTCTCCATCTTTTCAATACGCGATATAGCAGCAGTAAAGTCCCATGAACTTCCTCCAGACGTATGAAAAGCGCCGCCATCTTCAAACTCAAAATCTTCGGCAATCTCGCTTTCCATTTGCTGCTGCTGCGCTTCCTTGAGCTGCTGCTGCCGGCTAAGCACAGCACTCTTGAACTGAGTGTCTTCCGAATCAGAAGAGTCCGAACTGTCCTCTACGTCAGACAACTCTTCGTCTGACGCAATGGTCATCACCAGATCGTCGTCCTCGACCTGCTTCCTGCTCATTATTTACTGAACGAGCTATGACAGCCAGCGATACAATTCCACCGATTTGATTGGTCATCATTAGTGATAAAGTTTCTACCAATTAGATAAGCTATTAAGGATACTGATTGGCTTAAAAAGAGAAGGATTTTTGATTGGTAAGCACAGTGTCAGATGTTCGTGAGACAAGGATGCATTATTTAGACATCATTCTATTCTCCTACATGAGGATGTAGATCATTTTTCTCATGGAGTTACGAGAGCATACGCTTTCGTTTCCATGGAACGTAGTAGTGGAGCTTTATTACAAGAACTCATAATCGAAAGTAGTTAGTTATTTATACAACTGTGGAATGACATTACTTAGATACAGCAGTGATCGCCTTGATCGCCTCTATTGTTTTTGTATTAAGACCCTGTCGATTTGCGAGCCCCTTTGCATTTCGAAGCTTGTCGTCGTCCATTGCTTAAAAGCTGCTTGTGTCTATTGGGTCAGTAACTGATGATAGTAGGTTTTTATAATAGCCTTGAGTCCAGCAAATACTTGCTTGACTGTTAGATTAACATATTAATTAGGGACGTAAGTCGGTCATATAGATCCGATGATTCTTTATTTTACCCGTTGAGCAACTATCTTTCCACATTAACCTTCGTTATAACTACAGCTTCATAGAGTATAATGGTGAAAGCTTGCGTAACTGTAAGATTGACATACCAAACAAATACGTAAGTTGGTCAAAGAACATGTAGTGGCGTTATAATTTTCTTGAATTCGTTAACGCTGTACATATTGTATTCACGACAACGGAATAGTCTATTTTCCAGTGTCACATGTTTCTCACTTTAACGACTAATTGGCGCCCTTCTCGTCATCACGCGTGAGAAACGCGTGTGTCTCGTTAGGAAGTATGGAGATCTGCCTACGTTAATGCAAAATGCAAAATCAGCCAATCAGAATGCAGAAAACGATCACGATACGAAAAGGATGGATTATCAATCAAAACATCCCTATATATGAGCAATTGCTTAGACTTGTAGCCCGTTCTCGTAGAGGGAGATTTCCTTTTAAGCTTTCCATTTAACCAAATGATTCCGCATTCCGAGACGACGGCGATGAGTGCTCGACGCGGTTCACGTTTGCGGCGTAAGCCTACTCCAATTTACCAAGTGGAAGACAAGCGTAAAAGTGATGATGAAATGAGTGTTGAAGAGGAAGAACAGGACGCAGTGGTACCCAATGAACAAAGCGAGGAAAGCAGGTACTATATTTGCCAGTGCGCACTCGAGAGTGATGGTCCTTTGCGCATTTTCCGCGGCAATTTCCTTCCGCTTTGTTTTTGTATATACAAGTGCTTACTATCTGATGATTTGAGTTAGTGATGAAGGACGGAATGGAGAGGACGAGGAGTTTACGCCTTCCGGAGTGAAGGTTACGAGACCCAAGAGTGCACATAGAGTTGCACAAACACCAAGAGTTAAGGTGAGATCCAGCAGACGAAAGCGCTCACCGTGGAGTCAAACGAGAAGCCTGCGATCGGATGGAGAGGGTACAAAGACGAAGAGAAGTGCAGCATCTGGAGAGCCAGAGAACGCCGCAACTTTAGGGAGCATTGACGACCAGAACGACGAAGAAAAATCGCTATTTGGTGCGTGATGATAACACCTTGAACATTCTGTAACAGAACGGGAGTAGTGCTGACTGATTGTCGGCCTGATTGGACTTTGCAGAGGCGATAAAGCGAGGCAAAGTGTCATTGGATGATCTGGTGAGCAAGTGGCGCATTCGTTTTGAAAAGAATAGTGAAAAGGCGACGAAGGAAGTGCTGAATCTAGTACTGGAGGTACGAGGGTGTAGGTCCTGGAACGGTGTGATGGGATCTCATATAATTGGTATATGGGCTTTAGACCTGCGGTGGTGCGGGACAATGCGTTCCTGAATCGAAGCCATTGGATCAATTGGAAATGAGAGATTTGGTGAATCATGTTTTGGAGGATCTTGAAAATGTGAATGGAGAGTATCTCATTTCGTCTCGTGGAAAGAGTGCGAAGAAGTTTCAGCGTCATTTCGAGGGGTTTTGGGAGGCATTTGTGAAGGAATGCTACGAGAGCGAGATCTTACTCACGTCAGATGTTGCATACAACTTTATCGACTGGCTTACTACCTTATCAAGGTGACTTGAGTGCTATATCATGTTACGGAGAAGATCACTAACTTGACGTCAATCTTTGTAGCTCCGAACTTCGGCCGATACGACATACGTCAACTGTTGCTGTACTAGCGTTGAGCAGTGCGTTGGTGCGTACGGCTGCTAGCATTTCCGAGCAACTGACTATTACGAAGAGACAGCTCAATGCGGAAACAAGCTCGTCTAGTACTACTTCGACTGGTACAAATAAAAGCCCAAATGTCCAAAAAGTAGCCTTCCTGCAGAGTAACGAAGCGCTTTATGAGAGTCGCCTTCAACAGGTGCTGAAGCTTGTCAATTTGATATTTACTGGAGTAGTGGTGCATCGGTACCGCGACGTGATGCTGGAGATTCGTTTGGTAAGCATACAATGTCTCGGCCACTGGATCACCACCCTACCCGATCACTTTTTGAAGGACAATTTTCTGAAGTATCTCGGCTGGCTTTTAAGCGACAAAGCAGCGTCAGTTCGTCATGAAGTGGTTGAGATTTTGTGCGAGCTGTACGAGAATGATGCGTTTACGGAACGGTTGGAGCTATTTAACTCTCGCTTTTTGCCACGTTACTTGGAGCTATGCAGCGACAAGGACGACGCTGTTGTTGGGGAAAGTATTCATCTTCTCATCGCCGTTGACAAACACAGTCTTATCAGCTCTGATATTGAAATTTCTCCAGTTGAAAAATTAGTGTTTGATGCCGAGCGTGAAGATATTCGCAAAGCTGCCGCAGAGTTTGTGTGTCTTCAATATGATGCATTCGGAGTTGCAGTCTCAAAGACAAAGAACGCACAGTTGAAGAAAGAACAGCTCAACACTCAGGCAATTGCTCTGGTGGAATTTGCGGAAGAATACATCCAGAATCACGGCATACCTGAGAGTGCAGTGGAGACGCTTGTCGATGCTTTTTGGGGGCTGGAGGACTGTCGTAAGTTATAGTTGCCCACAATGCAATCAGTAGTGCTTGGCAATTGAGTATGCTTACTTTTTTGCAGTTGTCCTGCAGAATTGGAGGCTGATGACAGATCTGCTTTTAGTGGACAAGAGTGCACCAGACCTGAGCAGCAAGCAGCAAACTATTCTGCTACGGCTTCTTGTTGCGTCTGTAACCAAGCTTGTGGGAAATGATACAAATCGTGGAGCAAATCCTGCTGCTAAACGAGAATCTGAGCAGTTGCAAGTACGTAATGTCTTTTTTGTATGGCGTATACATTAAGCAATTAGTGCTGTGCTAATGTTGTAAACTTTTGTTCACTGTACCGATTGAAGGAAGAAATTACCGTAACGTACTGCAAAGATATCCCCAGCTTGTTCCTTTTGTACCAAGCTGATTCGGACAAGCTGTCATTGCTCTTGCAACTGATTCCAATGCTGTCATTGAAGAGTGAGGTTATTGGTCACCATAGTAGTTGTATAAAGGAGCTCCTCGAGAAGTTGAAGCACGCGTTTTTTTTGCACTCTGAAGAAGAACTGCTATCGAGTTTATCGCTTTCTGTAGCGCACTTGCTTCAAACGGAACATGTTTCGCTGAAACGGGAAGCCGAAGCGATCATGCACGAGCTAGTTCAAGAGGTCATTGACAAAATTGATCGGCTTATGGAGGCCGACTTAAAGCTGTACGATACATTCGCTACTACTGGCGATGACACACTCACAATGAGAAGCAAACGAACCAGAAAAACAAAGGGGTGCCCATCGACGAAGGAAATATCGAACGTCGAGTACGCCATGCGCAACGCTCTGTGCCGACTCAAATGCTTGATGAGATACCTGAATGTCCGAAGGTACATTCCTCCAGACTTATCATATGGAGTGGCTGAAGATAACAACACATCTGCACCAAATTTGCAGCGGTTTGACAGACTTGTTGTGGCAGTCGGAGATTTAATGTGTCGGCGGACGAAATTGGTCTCTAAGCTTGAAGGATTTCGACATGTCGACACCATTAAACATGGTTTGACAATAATCTATTCCGATCTGTTGTGGATGACCTCGCCAATCTTCAAAATATGTGTAGAAGAGAAGAAGCGAGACTTTTTAGATAATGTGAGCGAAGTTACTGAGACCGCGGTGAATCCTTCTATCCAGTTTCAGATCCGACAGGTATGTCAATCACGATCCACACTTGAAGAAGCTTTGATTTCTGTGCTGGAGATGCACTTGGCTAGAACCAATAAAGGTGCCGATAACGAAGGCAAAGAAAGTGAAACAGTTACCGAGCTTCAATTGATGGCGTCGATGGAAGAGATTGAGTTTAAGGACGAGGATGTGGCATCATACGTACGTGAAGCCCAACACTTTGCATTTTTGGTGTTTTGCGATGCACGGTGTCTGTTTGTGGAGAAATTTCAGGATGCGACAGTTCCCTACAATGCACTGGATTGGACTTTGCCGAAAGTACTCATTCTGCTCACGCAAATACACTTTGAGAGAGTGATGGATGACGCTGAAGAGGAACAGCCAGAACTTGAAGATGGTATGGAGAACAATGACCACGAAACTACAACGAAAAAAGAAGACGCTATCAGTGACTTGGAACAGAAGCAGCAACGCAAAGCTGAGCTGCTGGTAGCACTTGGCCGAGTGTCTCTTTGCAATCCAAGCAAGAAACACCAAGCTGCGGCAATTCTGCAATATTTCACATCAAGTAGCGAGCCCTGTATCGACGTGGTAAAGGCATTTGGGAAACAAGTGAAAACAGATGCTCCCGTGCGTTACCTCGAAATTCAGATGACAGCACTTCGCCAAATGTTTAGCTCGATTCTCGTCTGGAAGCAAGAAATTGAAGCAGCTGAAGCAGGAAATGATGACGAGAAGGTTATAGAGGCAGAAGATTTGATGGAGAAGGTGGAAAGCAGCAAACAGGAGTTGAAGGAGCTCGCAAGAAGGTTTAGCCAGTCTCTTGGCGTTGGAAAAGTTCCTGCTTCATTGAGAGTGCCATTTTTTCGTTTCTTGCGTGAAGGTGTTCGCTATTCTTTGGAGCAACCGACCCAGTTTGAATTTTTGGAAACAATGCGGGCATACCTGTCACACCTGGACAGCTCAGGCATGGCACAACTGCGTGATCATTTTATGGATCAACTACAAAGTGTACGTGATATACCTGATGACAATGAAGACCTGGACCCGAGATGGCGGGTTGTTTTTGACTTTCAGTCATCGATCACCTCCGCCAGTGCTGCAAATGGAAGGACGCCAATATCAACTGAAGCACTTAACTCGCCTCCACTAAAGAGGAAGCGGCGATCTGCTAGCTCCGAACCTACGCCGATGCAGACAACATCCATTGCAGAAGAGAGTGAGGAGGAAAATGAGAGCGCTTGTGACGTAGCTGCTGAAAAAGGTGCTGCTGGCGATAGAAGTGATTTAACGATGATTGCAGATGGAAAGCAGGTCGGCCACGATTTACACAGTGGACAGGAGTCGTCAAGACGCAAACGCACGATTGTGGCTGATGACGATACCGATTCGACACATTCCTTGCAATATCGAAAGCGACCCCATCAACGAAATGCAGTAGCGAGTAATGATGATAAGGTGTCAGAGCACAGCGAACTTGGTAGCCAGCACCATGAGGAATGTCAAAGTGAAAACGACGCGCCGGTACGCAAAGAAGAAGAAGCAGAGGCGGATACGAGGAAAATTGAACGTAAACGGCGTCGAGTATGAGTGAGCGAATGCAAGCAACTAATATTTTAGTGGATGCATACGGCAGGGTTAAGCATTGTCTTGGTGTTTTTTACTACGAGTTATGTACGTTTAATCATGCATTTTCAAATCTTCGTGTTCTGGTAGCAAAGCTGAGCTGCAGCTCTTTGCTGTCGTAGTCCTCCAGACTCGTGGAGGCCATCATGGACGATTACCACATTTCTTGATAACGTTAGCCATGATCTCTACAAAATTGCTATGAAGCGAGGTCCATGAATGCCGATGATCATGGACACCACAAAGCCAACGGCCGATAATGGAAAGGATGATATAAACAGAAAAGTGGACGAAGCGACGATTGAGAAGCAAAAATTGTATAATCTATATACCGATGAAAAAGCAATGAAAACATCGCGTCCAAATCGAGACAAGCGTGCTGTGGAAGGTAAGACAGTTGCAGACTCTAGGGCTACAATGGACCTAGGAAAAGTGGATCTTATTAGCGTTAAATCGCTCGAGTAGTCTACAGATCAAAAGGTGAAAAACAATCAGTATCCTCCAGCCCAACCACAATATTAGGCATCCATGACTGCAATACAACGTACAGCAAGAAGTCATCCTGGTCCAACTTAGCACCACGCTTTCCACCAAAGTCTTCGAAAGCTAACACCTCTTCCACCTTCTTCTTCATGTTAAGGTCACCTTCCGGAAGCTACAAAATATATACCCCATGGTAACACTTACATTAATAAATCGAGCCAGATTCCATAAGTCTCAAGAAACATCATATCATACCTCATTGTTCAGTGAGCAGTAAGTCTTGTAGTTCTCCTCTAAGATCTTTAGTACCGATTTTGTCGCAAAGCACGAGTGCAACGTCTTATTCTTTCGATTAAAGATAATCTTAATCATTCCATCCCATTCCTGGCAACGTATGACAACATCAGTTTTGTCTATCAGCAACAAAACAGCTCAACTCCGTACCGTAAAGTTAACAGGCGGCGGTGGATTGCGCGGTTCAATGCGAACCACGCGCGACTCGACCTTGGGTGGTGGCCGGAAATTGTTGCGACCAACCTTCAGCAGCTGATCCACTTTGGCCAGTAACTGCGTGTTCACGGACAATCGGCAGTACAGTTCGTCACCCGGTCTACAAAAAAGGAATAGCAAAGTGGCGTCAGTTTAGATTCAACACTATCAAGTCCAAAGTACATTTATGCCACGCACTTGGCACTGAGTCGCTTGGCAAATTCCTCTTGAAACATGATCACAGCACACCGGAACATGGGACGATGGGCCAGCAACTTGAACACAAAAGGCGACGAGATTTGATACGGTAAGTTGGCCACACATACGTCAAAGAACGGCAGCTGCACGCGCATGACGTCTCCGTGAATAATCTGCAGGTGGTTCATATGCTCCGTGTGCTGGATGCGTTTCTGCAACTCCGCGACCATGCGCAGGTCAAACTCCACTGCCACCACGCGCTTAGCTTGGTCCAGCAGCTTTACCGTCAGATTACCGGTACCGGGACCGACTTCGAGGCAGACGTCTGTGCCACGGATGGCCGCCTTGGCCACGATCTGCGTCACAATCATGGGATTTTTGAGAAAATGCTGACCCAGATTGGTGTTGGGTGTGGCTAACGTACGCCCAAGCGCATTTTGCGACGCCGAAGCGGTGCCTACGTTACGGGCACGCTTTTTCTTGTCCTTGGGCATGGCGAAGACGTTGATTTGCAATGGCTAGTGGCTGTCCGACCACATCCCTTTATAAGATCAACAGATGTTATAACTTTATTTGTTTGGGCCGACCAATTTGCAGCTCAAAATTTTTAAGCGCTATCCTAGATGCAATGACTATTTTTTTTATTCTTTAAAGGGTCATGCAACTTTACAGGGATATGCCATTGTGCTTAGAAATAGTTTATTTACACCATCCACCATTTGTATGGTATCTACTGCTTCTATATCGGCATTTGTAACTGTGTGGCATGTACGAGCATTATGCCCTGGCTGGGCACAGCGTCCGCACCGTTGACGAGGCGCAGTAATAGCAGCTGCTTTTGCAATTACAAAAAAATTGCAGATGGCAAGCGGTATCTTGACCCCGTTAGTCGGTTTTGCGTCACTGGTCGCACAAATTGCTACCAACAACATTATTGGAGACTGCAAGCGCAGGTCAAGACAAAAACATCATATTCATCATGTTCGATTAAGAACGCAGCGAAATAATTTTCTGATTACTTTGAAAAAAATATATATACATATATATATGTATATATACCAAGATGAATAGATAAAAATTATATCACGGCGTATACTATAGGTATAGGCTCTAAGACACAATTAATAGTCTAGCAAATTATTTAGTATATATATATATAGTCCTATCCTAGCTGATAACTGTATGGGTTTTTCTAATTAGTACATTTACATATAATAAAAGTGGCCAAAGCCTAACCTCGCCTGATTAGACTATTGTCTCATTCCATTTTTTTTAAACAATCAGAGCACAAGGAGCAAATCTTCTGATTTTTGGCCTTTCATATTTTCTTTAACAGTATTTTTTATACATATTTATATGATAAAAATAGCACGTTGAAGCCGTTGGGTGTCGTCGTCTGGGAAGCGGCCGTGTTTCAGCCAATCATAAGAGCGATTAGATATCTATGTGACGCGGTCGCGTCATTCTTCAGTTTCCCGTCAAATATGGGTTATTCTAAACATAACGTGTGTGAAACACATTCCAACGCCCTGAAAAATGGATTAAACCTAAAAAATCAAGTCATTCCCAACAGATTCTCACCTATTATCCAAATAAACCTATAAACCCATCATTCTTCAACTGGGTCATTTCCTAACGCGATCCTACTTTTCTTCCGCCAGTTGAGAACGTACCATCATTCCCACAAGCTCTATGTCCCGCCAAACGAAACGTCAAGAACAAGAAGAAAAAGAAGAAGAAAAAGCAGCAGTAGCCACTCCAACTCCTCCCACAGCTACTCCCTCCTCCGAAAGCAATCTTGAATCGGAAGTCACTCCTGAAATTGCCGCTCAAGTCACTTCTGTCGACGAGCTCGTTGCCTCTGCTAACCCCAAACCTGCGTCATCCCCTAAACCCACACCCAAGCAGCCAAATCAGTCGATCACCGAAACATTGGACAGAATGAATGGGACAATTCATTTCAAGGTGTTAAAAGCCAATAATCTACCGTTAATGGATTATGGCAAGCGTCAAGATCCTTTTGGTACATTGTACTTGCTGTTGTTATTGCTGGAGCTTCTTTATAGAATTGCTAGAATGTTGATGCTAATGATGTGATCATGTTGTAGTACTGGTAGAATTGGACAAGTCAAGTCCCAAGTCATGGGCGACGACGGACCCCGTTTTTAATGGAAATAGGAATCCCGAGTGGGGAAAGGGATTGATCAACGAATTGGAGCTCTTTTACGATGCCAGTCTTCATGGGAAAGAGGCTGTGTTGACTGTTGAAGTGTATTCGAATGAAACAGGTGGCGAACTTATTGGCACGGGGCAGCTGGATGTCAGTTCCATTGTCCAAGAGAAAAGTTTAGAACCTAAGAAGGCCATTGTCGGACTGATCGGCAATCGTGGCGAGGTTATTGCTGAGGTGTGGTTTGGCCCGCCGGTACGCAAGGCCTTTCGTGCAGCAGGACGCGCGACAAAATTGCTGGATGCTCGTGACGCTTTCGTAGCGACTTGTTGCTCGATCATGTCTACGATCTGTGGCTTTGTGTCGAAGTACACTCAAATGCCTACGGACTTTGCTAAAAAGTACCGCAAGCTTAGTATGGCTGTGGCTGCTATGCTAGGTATTATGGCCGCCGGAGCGCTCACTGTATTCCTGGCGTTTGCCGTGCCGACCATGCTGGTGACTTTCTTCACGTTTCCGTTGTGGATCATCCCGTTCCTGGCCACGTCGTTCTTCACGGCCCCGCTGTGGGTGCCTATCTTGCTTCTGGTTGGACTGTTCCTGCTGTTTATCGCTACGTTCGTCTTCGGACTTGGTGTCACCTCGCGCTCTGTGCGTCGCAAAGGTGCTATGATCTCGAACAAGATCAAGCACTCGAATGTCGGAAAGCGCGTGGTGTATGAGAAGACGGTCTAACGTGTTCGACGAGCTATCACGATCTTATTTTCCCGCCCTTCTTCCCAGTGTTGTGTAAGCGTGCATCCATGCATGATCTATGAGACCTTTTAAACCAAAATAAAAAATTAATTCATGAAGATGGCGTTTACTATGCGGTATGCTGACATTGACAGACAACTGACATCTTTATTGTTTATTGTTGTTGTTTAGTATTATAACCCCATCAATAGGCGTCGTGAATCTCAGATAATTCCTTGGTCTCTTGGCATGTTTCTAATGATGACAAAGACAAACATTTTTCTGGATGTACCTAGAGTATGGAGAAAATAAAGCAGGGCTGTTTGCACAGAGTGACGCCTTGTTTTGTCTGTATGATTGGCCACGTGGGCCACTCAGTCTTACTGAGTGCACACGGTAGCCTTACGATGAGGTAAATGACCGCTCATGCTCTTCTTATCGAGCTGCTGGCGCTGCATCTTTTTGTACTGTGCCACAACGTCCTCCAGTTGCGTCTGACGTAGGTTCACCTGCTCTTCCAAGTGCATAACTTGCTCTTCCTTTCCCTCCAAGAACTCAATGAGGTCGTGCATCTTCTCCTTCTTTTCCTTCAATGACGCCACCAAACAGTCGTTCTCCGCCTGAACGCGAGACATGTTCACGTTAGCCTCAGTCAGGCGCTCGGACATTGACTTGAACTTCGTTTTCAACAGTAAATTGTCGCGTGCCTTCTTGACCACCCGAGATTCCAGTCCACTCACTTCACGCTCCATGGACAATAAAGCAGCCTTTAGCTCCTCAATTGTCTCAAGCTTCTCCGCGATATTACTGAACAGGAACATGTCCATATCGAGACGGAGGCCATTGGCGAGCGTCGAAAGGGTCTCACCAGACGAAATGTTCAATGTAGTCTCTAGTTGCTGTACAACTTTCTTGGCTATCTCGTCGACAAGTTGCTGCTTCGTCGATAGCTGAAAATTGAGACGGCAGATCTCACGGTTCTTTTCCATCACTGTGTTCTTAAGTCGATATATCTCTGGGTTACAAATGATATCGCCGTTCGCAGGCGAATCAACGCCATTTTCAGCGAGCAACGTGATCTGAGAATCCTTCTTTTCAAGATCATGCTGAAGACTTGACACGAGCCTTAACTTGTTCTCTCGCTCACTTTGAAAGACCGCTTCAGTTTCACGGTGATATTCCTCCTGCATGTTGAAAGCCTCCTCGCTCGTCGCGAGTTGCCTCTCAAGTTTCTCTACATTCTTGACTCCAACCGCAAACTGTGAGCTTTTCTCCATAAGTCGAACGTTCTCTGTCTTGATCTTTAAATTCTCATGGATCAATCCGTCCACGTGCGCCCGAAGTTCATTAATAAATTGCTTATCTTCAAAAGCATGAATGGACGCGCCATCATTGTGCTGGTCCCTCAAGTGGTACTCGACCAGCTTGGCTACACGAGCCTGGTTACTTGGGTCTATCAACCACTTAAAGTTCTCGTTGTGCTCCATTATACCGTACAGAACCTCCATCACGACTTCCGTCGAGTTGGGTGCAACAGGAGAATTGTGCTTCTGTTTCACAGGCGTGACGCGAGATGATGACTCAGAGGTAGGTTCACTTTCTTTTGCTAGATAGTAGGCGTCACCGTTGCGTTCTGAATGTAATTCAGGAAAATTTAGCCGTTCGTCGGCATCGTGGGTTGGACTCGGGTGGGGCAGCATCCTGACAACGGATGACTGCTGCTGTTCGTCATTCGCAATTCTACGGAACTGCATGGACTCGTCACTGACGCCATCATCTGATGACGCCCAGTCCATTGATTCGAAGGAAGATGTGCGATTCGTCGCCGAGCGAGCGTAACGCTGCGTCGTTTCAGGGTACACATCGTGCTCGTCGTGCATGTCATAATACGACGCCATGGTCGAAGTCGAGGACGCTGACAGATCCCCACTGTTTGGGGAGGCTGCGCGATATAGTTGTTTGAGCGGCGAAGCTGCTCGCACAGCTTCTGAGGCCTTCAGCTCAGATGACACAGATCGTTGTATGTGGTTATACTGATGCATCTTGAGTGGACTCACCATGACCGCGTTCTCCTTGGCCGCGACCGCCACAGTAGTAGATCGGTAAGAGTCCACCGTGTCGGTAGAAACCATCACAACATCCTGCTTGGGGGTACTCTGCAGGGAAGCGATACACTTGTCCGTGCATACTCGCTTCGATTTCAGTTGCACCTCGATAGACGGGAACATGTCCAAAGCGTCAAGTTTGTGACTGTAGTCTAATGGATCGATCTTGGGCTCTGTATCCATCAAGTGTTTCCTGCGCTTGATAGTTTCCTTAACAGCCTCATTTTCTCCATCTAGCACCTTTTCCTCGATTATCTTGACCGTCTTGTTGCTTCCAAGAGGCAACAACATGGTGATCCTCTGCGTCTTCTCTTTCATCTTGTTCTGCTGCTTGCCAAGCCGTGCAATGTGTCGACCATGTGTCTCTAGTGCATCCACAAGTTCACCGTCCTTCAGTACATTCTTGTCCTGCTTACAGGCGTCACTAAGCGCCACCACAAGACGCAACAACTCGTCGTATTTTGCACTCATTCTTGTCGTATCGTAAAGTGATCGACTTCCTCGTCAATCTGCTCCCCCCTCCACCGTTGCTCCACGTCTCAAGTGTCGAGCAGACGCTGCGTTAACCACGTAACGCTCCAAGAAGACAGACAGACAGATAAATAGCTTCACTTTAAGACTATGGGTCTCTCCCTCCTGCTGCTTTGTTCTTCTCGATTCTCCAAGTTCTCTCCGTCCGTCGCCTGCGTCTGCTCAGGAGAAAAAAAAAAGGGATCTTCGAATCCATCTGTCATCCATTCAGACCCAAATCCTTCCCATCGCATCGCACTGAGCAGCTACTTTAGCTTATTCTAGGATAAATTGGTCTTAAGATTCGGATATATTGCCTAATATAGGTTTATACGATGACGCATACATGACAACGCCTCGACGTTTCATTAGTACTCTACTGACCGTTCCAGGAACGTGCTACGAAAATGCAAAACAATTTCTGTCGAACTGCAGGTGTTTTTTTTCGGCTGTCGACATTTCATAGCGCCTGGGTTACAGTGCGACATACTTCCTATGATGTTTCTAGGACTAGTTGCGAGCTTACATAAAGTCAGTGATTACATCTGCTGAATTGCCATTAACACCCGGGCTCGTCATATATACGTTCATCAATCTGTAGTACTGAAGTATCTTGTACTGCCTTAAAACTTACCCGCTCGTCATCTAAATAGTAAGTGACGACGCCGCTAGGCGCGACGCCTTCCCTTTCGCACCCCTAACGTTTCAAAGGCGGCACATATCGTTTCTCCTACCAAAGGCGTCATCCATGTCTTGTTAACTCATTCAGTCGCTTTAATGCGCGACGTAGTGTTCAAAGGTGCGCATGAGGTCCGAAAAGGACGGACGCAAACTCGGTTCGCGTATCCAGCACGACCGGATCAGCCGTGCAAAAAAGCGCGGGCACGAGCGAGGGATCGGTGGACGCAGGTCGTGGTTGAGCACACCCAGCGCCACCTGAATTTGCGTCATGCCGTCGTACGGGCACTGGCCCGTGAAGATTTCCCACACCACGATGCCAAACGAGAAAACGTCTGCCTTCTCAGTGTACTTCCGGTTGCCTAACACTTCTGGTCTGTACATGTAACACAAGAGCAAAGTCATGTAAGTGTCTCTTCAAGATACAAGTCAGGGGTTTTGTTTCTCAAAAGTCACGTACGCCATCCATTGCACAGTGCCACAGTTGCCTGTCATGGTCTGGATCTGTGCCTTGACGCGTGAAAGGCCAAAGTCCGAGATCTTGATCGAATAATCGCGCTCGACGAGCAGATTGGGACTTTTCATGTCCCGATGCAGGATTGGCAGCTCGAAGTGGTGCAAGTAGCTCATGCCGCGCGCAGTATCATATACAAATCGAGCACGCATCTCATCTGTAATCTGTTGTCGTTGTGTACGTAGTACTGCCCAGAGCGAGCCTTGTTCCACGAGCTCGATCACTAAAGCTCGGTTCTCGGGGGCAAGACACGCCCCAAGTAGCATACAGATATTTGGGTGGTGTAGGAAGCTCATGATTTTTACTTCCGTCTCAAACTCCCGCACGACGTCAGCACTCAAGTTTTTTCGAATAAGCACCTTCACAGCCACATTCTGACCCTTCCACGAAGCTTTAAACACCTTGCCAAAAGCTCCTTCACCAATTACACGGCCAATGATCACGTTGGCCATGTCAACGTTCTGATACGGCTTGAGAAAACACTCCTCTTTGTTATCGGACATCATTTTGTCACTGGCCACCAATTCAGACTCGGGTTCCTCTCGTGTCATGACGACGTTTGTCTGTCGATGACGTTGGTTCAAGTCATTGTTCGGGTCAAACCAGTTCGACAGATAGAGTGGGATACCAGCCTGTCGTGCACCGTCAAGTCTCAACGAGTTGTTGCTGCCTTCGTCGGCCATGCAGGACATGGGAGCGTCGCTGTCGATGTGCGTAGAGCTTCTTTCCACGCCGCAAAAGCTGTCGTAATAGAAGGCACCGCCTTCGTGGCCAAGTTGTCTAGCAAGCGTCACCATGGTAGCGTCCGCCTCCTCCTGACGCTGCTTTTGCTTGATGCTCTTGTTGCCAAGACGCCGCTGCATTAGCGGTGTGTTGACGTCCGTTGGTAGCTCTACAGGTCGCACTTGAGTAGAAGACTGCGGCTTATTGTGGATGTAGTCAAGTCCTTTCGTGTGTGTGCGAATGGGAGACCCACACAAGTGGAAGAAACCGTGACGGTCCTTTATATTGCTGCGATGGTGTCTAGATGTGGTGGACGCCATGGATTGCAAAGGTGGAAGAGTTCACGTGCAGTGGTTGGGTGCCAGCCACAAGGCAGGAAGTGAAGTGAACCTCTTTTGGTACATGGGTGCGTGCGCTCAACGGTTTTTTAATAAGTTGACATCCGTTATCTCTAAAATTGCCAAGTTACGAGATTGTTAACGAACAGGCGCAATTTACTTAAGTTTCTCCATTTGATTAAGTATCTCTCAGATACCAAGCTTCAATAGGCCATGGGTCAAAACTTTCAGCTGCGCTGGAATAGCACGGAGAATCTAGCGCTGGGTGAGGTCCACCATCCCCATTGTAAGCAGTTTAAATGTTCTGACAATAACTTGCTGCTATGGGGATGCTTTGGAACACAAATTTCAATGGTTTGACCTCTTAATCGTATTACTTTGTTACTTAATTTCGAGTAAAAGGCAAGCGACTTCCCCGCGTGATAAGGCATTAGTGCTCATGGCGTATCATCAAATGTCAGTATCTTTTCGGTTCATGGATGACTGCGCTGGCGATGACAATGATAATCAAGTAAAGATCCATTCATCGCTTGCCATTATCTTGACTGAAAGCTACGCTTCGACTCGAATCTCATATAGGGCTAGCTAATGTCAAGTAATCAGATGAAGATGTTCCACCTTGACACTAGCAGTGTAATTTCATTCGTGTATCTATTTTAATGGGAGCGTCGGCAAAAGTTTTGGCATGCTCGAAAAATTACGCTTGACCTCGTTGCGGCGAGTTGTATCCATCCTTGCCTTCATGGGGGCGTGTACACGCTTTTAGCTCGCGGATACGCTCTTCTTAATGTTCGAATGGACTCTTGGTGATCCAACAGAATTTGCTTTGAAAATGTTTACATCATCAGCATCTTTGTTAGCTACACTTTTGATGCCAAATAGAGTTGCCACATCCGACAACGGGTTGGTCAATCTATTTAAAGCTCGTTAAGAGCGCGTAAACATGTTATCTCTTCTTACACATCTCATTAAAACATGGTTCAACTCAACGACATTTTCTAGCAACCTCAACGACCTGCCTTCCAGTCTCCTCTAAGAAACTAATAGTTAGACCTCCTATTTTACCTCCTTTCAGATTCATGATTCATAAATCATATAATTTATTGCCCATAGCCTTGATCACCCTTTTAGACTCCCAAAAAAACAAATGATGTATTCAGAACTCGTTAAAAACCATAAAAAAGAATTTTTCAACCTGAAAGAAGCTCTATCTTCTGTAACATCAATCTGTGAGTGATATCAGAAGCAAGTTCGTTCATCTCCATTAGTTGTTTTCTATACATTCATTATTCCGTTGACAAACTCTATATTTATTCATGAATCATGAATCTGAATCGTAAATCTGAATCATGAGTCAGTCCTAGAAAAACGAATCTAAATCATAAATTAGACGTTCTTCATGTAAAAAGATTCGAATAGGAAGTTTACTAACAATGTTCCCTTTTAGCTAAGACCAAGCATTGGCATTAAGTGTTGATCTAGTGAATGCAAACGTGGAGAAGCTTCTGTCAACAAAGTTGGCGTTAGCAGTCAATCGCCTCGTCTACAAAGTCGGCTCAGTTTCGACAAGAAAGGCAACAGTCTCTGCAAAAAGGCCCTAAAAGGCCAGTTCATCATCGATCGAGCGTTGCACATTATCTGTTTCACAGCTTAAGACACTGCTGGGATAGGTGACCAGACATTCATATGCACTTGTATCATGTCTGCATGTCGCTACTTCCCAAGTCTAAGACAGCTGATCTGGTACCCGGCTTCACTTAAAAGGCGCCATATGCCTCCTGCATGTGCTCGGGTTTGGTCAAATGGTCCCACGTGTTCTTTTAAAACGTCCCCGTGAAGTCCGTCCGGTTTTGAGCCAGTAGAATGAGCAACTGCATCAGAGAACGACGTAGTCATGGCAGAAGATCAGGAGATTACTCCCACAGACATATCTTAAACAATCATAAGGATTTCGTAGACAGTCTGAACCTCATCATGTCTGCATGTCGCGTGCAAGCCGAGAAGATACAACATGCCGTTCTTTAACGTGAGATGATTACAACTTTTGGGAGCGGTGTAACAGCTAAGACTTCCACTTAATCCTTCGCTCGCGGTTGATAGTCTAGAAGCGGCTGCATCCATGCTATCCGCATCCGTAACAAGGAGCTGTCATACGCCATCTCCTCCTTCGGAGTCGGCTGAAAGCCTAATGACTGAAACAACCTCACACCTGCGAAAGTGTCATACTGAGGTACATATGCGATTAGCGACTGCGGGTGCGTCGGCTGCTGCGCGTACATAGCTTCAATGTCCTGCAACGCAGCAAAGAGTCTCCTATCAGTGGCTACAAGTGCAACGTGCGCCAGCAGTCGAATGTCTCACCTTTATGACTACACGGAGGAAACGCTTTGCATAGCCCTGCCGCCGCTTATTACCGACGATGCCCAAGTACTCAATGATAGCGACTTGACCGCTTTCCTCGGTGGCAGGTCGCCAGCGTGTGATGCCCATCGGTCCATCGCCAACTACATGGAAAAAGGGAGACAGGTCCAATGCATATGCATCATATCAGTACAAATTGCTATTCGAAGCAGCAGAAGCTGCAATAACTTTTACTTCGAACCGAATGCGACTAAATGTCGCGATGTCGGGTCATCCGGCAGCACTTTTGCCATATTGGGAAAGATTCTTCCTCGCAAGATTTGAATAAATGTCCACAGAGATAAATTTGCTCGTTCTAAGGCTGTCACAGTATGAACAATCATCTCGTCTTGCTTAAAACAGTCGAATCCCTGCACTGTGAATTCGAACGCCGTAAACGTCTTCAACATAAAATCATAGAGGTTCAATAATCCGCTCATTGTCAATGCATCAGTCATAAAAATAGTATTGCCAGATCAATTATCATCACCTTAAAACCCTTGTACGAACGACTTTTACCGGTATGTCCACAAATGGTACACTTGATACCCTAGATTACGTATCATTTAGAATCCACCGTTAGGAAGATGCTAATTTGACACGAAATCTCAGCTAGAAATACAAGATGCTACTAAACCTAATCTCGATTTTCTATTCCATTAAATTGACGGGCACCTACTTGCTCGTGATTGTGGCTACAGACACTGCAACTTAGTGCCGTAACGTTGTCTTTCGTTTCCATTTCTATTCAAGATACCGACCGTATGTCGGTTCTCAGGACTCGGCTGTATATCGGTTTCAAGAGGTTTTGTGTACCAAAGTACTTAGTTAAGTATCCATTCATAATGTCGTCGTCGCTCCCGGAAGCGGTCAAAGCGCGTCGGATCTCCGAGCAGCTCGCGACGCTGGAACAGCAACGGGCAATGGGAAATTTACCTCATAATGACACGCCACTTCGACTTTATCAAGTACGAAACGGTGGGTTTGTGCGCGTTCTGGATCAGTACCCAGAGCCCATTTCTCAGAGCATGGTACGGATGGACTATCTATAATTGGTGTTATTGGTGGTTCTACTGCTAACTGATCGCTGTAACTGACATTAGCTGGAAGCAATTGATGTGTTTATTAGGAACAGTACAGAGAGTGAAGATTTGGAAACGACGAAAGCTGCTAACGAGAAGAAAAAAGAGTTTGAGATAAAGACGGAAGAGAGACAACGAGATACTGCTGCGATGGAACAAGAGCATAAAAGACAAGAGCAACATGTTGAAGTTGTAGCTGCAGATGCTGCTCATGGAGTTGTGACGGCAGCTTCTACTGACAAGGACGAGGATGACGTGGAAAAGACGCAGCCTTCTGGCTTTATTGGTGTGAATTTTGCACCGCCATGGGAAACAGCAACTGCTGTCAAACGTCCAGAAGAACTGCTGGCTCAGAAGGAACGAGTGAGCGATTGTTTAGGTAAACACGCTGAGATGGAGGATCAGGTGGAGACGTTACTGGTACAAGACAATGCATCATTACGATGAGCATTCAGTCGCAAAGGATAAGCACGACGTTTCTAAGTCTGTGGAAAATTCGATGCTATTTGATCAGTGGCCACCTCAACTTGAGGAACGACGAAAGTTGTGGTTTGTTCCTCGAAACTCTGGCAGGAAAACAAGTGTCATTGGGGCGAAGAACCAGCCCATTGTGTATTGGATGCATAATACGCTGCGAGTGATGCAGGGAAATTATGGACTAGAAGCAGCCATCATGCTTTCGCGACGTTTAGCGGCACCGTTGGTAGCTGTATGTTTTGTGTCGGCTTCTATTATCTACCCGGTTTGTCACGCAATGACAGCGAGCGACGCGTACGCGAGATACACGTTTGTCGAATTGTATCAGCAGTTCAAGCAGGCTGGGGTTCCATTCTATGGATTTACAGCTAAAGAAAGTGAGATGTCGACAACTTTAAATGATAAGCATTCGCTCTCGTTGACAACCAACCCGCTGTACGAGTTGCTGGATGCATTTGAACCACACGCGGTAGTGGTAGACGCCATGTTTGACCCTCCGAGCAGAAGGGATATGGTGTACTTGGCTCATTATCTAAATCTGAATCGTTCATCTTGCTCGTGGTCGTTCCTGTCTATGGATTCGACAACATGTTGCCCTGCCTATCAACTATCGCTGAAGCTGCAGAGGACGCTCGAGCATAGCGTTATCTTTGCGAGTGAAAAACAGTTCGGAGCCGAGTATGCGCCATTTGTTGAGCCTCGCAATGAAACATATGTCTTTAGTCCCTTACCTCGTGTGGGCGCTCCAGATCCAGTCGTCAATCAACAACGTGTAGAAATGCTGTTCACTATTTTGCAACGGCTTCACTTGGAAGAAATCAACTGGCTAGTTGTCAAGGCAGAGAACGCGCAATCGAGTACTCAGATGCGGCGATTTAGTGAAGGAGAAGGACTCCAGAAGCTTAGCCAGCTTTTGACAGGTTCAGATAACCAACCAGCTATTCAGACAGAGTTGCGCGGTGGAGGGGTGTTAAGTCTGTTGCCATTTATTCGCCATGGTACACTATTCGCTGGCTATGTTCTACGGCGGATAGATGAAGCAATTGATTCATGCCCCACACCAGCATCCCCTCTAGAACGAAAAGCGCTCGCGATGCGAAAGGTAAGTATTAAAGAGGATCTTATGTGTCATACTATTTCGTTGTAAAGTATCTGTGCTAACAAGTGTTTTCACGCCAGGTTATGCGATCGCGAGCCATGAAGTACTTAGGCAAAGAACGCGATTATGTTCTGTATTTATCCCTGTGGTCTACTTCTGCTGCTGGTAGCGAATGTTTCCGGCTGAGTGAAATAGCTCACCCAGATATTACGTCGCTTTGTACAAGTGAAATCATTACGGGATTGAATATCTCAGCTCCTCGCAGTTCTGCTTTGTAAGTCATAGTCTTTGAAATTATACCTTTTGGGTTAAGAAGATGTTAACGAATTCGTCGTTGTATAGGGATACTTATCGGAAGCTACTGCCTACATGGGCTTACAGCGCAGCCAGCATTACGGAGAAGTCTAAGGGCGAGGTGAAAGGTGCAGCTCTCTACGATCCGTACGAGCTAGAAAGTGCACGAACAAAGGATCTCTACTGGAATGAAATCCAAAAGTTGTTCATCGAGCAGCAGTATCTACACCCCCTCTTGGTTGTTTACTGGGCTTTCCGAATTTTAACGTGGAGCGTGTCATGTCGAGCGGCGATTGCGGTAAGCTGTAAATGGAGGTACTTTAGTTGGTTGCCTAACAATTGTGGTCCTCTTGTATCTTGCAGACAATTGAGTCTCTCATTTCTCAGTGTGCGCTCGGTTCGAACTGTTCTCCTGATGCTGTAGTTGTCGTATGGAAACAGCTATTTCGTCTTGGATCGACCAGCATCAATGAGATCAGCGACGGGAAGGAAATTGCAAAACTAGAAGATGTTCGACAATTCCAACATGCTTTAGAAGGCGAAATCGCATCGCAGCCAAAACTGCAGCTACGTCCATGATCGAGGAGAGGGCGATGTATTTGGCAACTGTATGATGTCCCATCGTATGGAAATGTCGTTACGTGCTCAGCTGCCTGTTTTCGTCATCAATACCGAACAACACCATCACCTATCAGTGGCTGGTGTGAGTCTGGAACTGATCAAGCGGATTTGCGTTGCTACAGACGCTGCAAATTCCTTTTCTGACACCGCATAAAAGTCAACATCTAATATCAGTTGACGAGCATCCAACTTGACGAGCATTGGAGAAGGCGAGCAATGAGGAAGTTTGGGCTCATCCGAAGCAATTTCCATTTCCACGCGTACTTTCGTCCCGCTGGGCCTGTTCTCGCGAAACAATGTGTAGTCAGCACTAGCATCCTCCTATCTTCTGGGTACACCAAAACGCAGGTGCTAGTATTCTGCAGGGCTGCAGTACGACGACGAGTCGTGGCTTGCTTCCCGGAGAACTGCACAGTGAAGTCGCAGTTGTTTCAGACGCCGAGACAAAGCTGAGAAATCGCAGAAAGAAGTTGCTTCATTCATGGAGAAATGGTGAAGGCGCAGCGTTTGGCATCTATCGCTTGAAAACACCTGTGAAGAAGACATTGTGAAAGGAGCCAGATCAACATGTCGTGTACATCATCATTGTTGCATCGCTCCGTTCCTCGTCAACGCTACTATTCGCGTCGAAAGAGAAAAACTACCGTGGCTTTAGGGTACATGTTCGTTTGTTGCTTAATTAATACCAAGACTAACTTTGCTGACTCAAGCGGAGCTGAAAGTAGCGTCGGGGCAAGTTTTTTGGTGGAACTCCACAGTAAACCCCTCGACAAGCTTTTTCCAGCCAAATGAAGCGATCGAAAACAATGCTAACAGCGGTCTGTACCAACAGCAACCGAAAAGAGTGAGAAGACTTCTAGATTTTCCAGCTTCGTTGTCGTCTTCGTTCGTACCTTGTAATGAGATCAAACCAATCACTTCGTGGGGCAGCACCATTCACATAGCAAATGTATAGAACTGCATCATGCCGAACACCGTCAATCATGTAGTAATCTACAAAACGTCATCAATACTCATCATCGTCAAAATACCAAACGTCATGTCTCTTTCCTATCAAAGCTGTACCTTGCAAAAACCGCAAGTTTTTGAACCCATTCTTCTCATAAAAATGTCGAGCATTCAAGTTGTCGGCTTTTACATGAAGATAGACGGCTCCACACTGTGGTTGACGACAAGCTTGAGCAATGCATTCCTGTATCAAGGCCGAAGCAATACCCATCCTTCTAACAGATACCCTAGTACCCAATGTCAAGATGTACATGATTTCAGTGTGTTCCCAGTCATCCGATGCAATTAAACCCGGGTCGTCCACTTTACTTAAAGGCAGCGTACTGGCCGTCACCACACCAAGAATAGTTTCAGCTCGTCGGTCTTCCAAATGTGGCTGTATCAACTGCATCGAGGGCTGCATTTCCACCACTAGACGTGCAAATAATGAACCACCTGTTTCCATCCAAAGACCTTTTGCTGCACCGTCATAAAACGACTGATTGTAACGAATGGGAAACCATTTCTCATGCAGTTGACGCACTTGTGGAATATCCCACGAATTTAAATCTCGGAAATAAATGACACGCTCAGGTGATGCCTCCACTTTCATCCCATTGACGTCGTCTATATCGCTCGCAATCTGTACCGTAACCTCACGTGGAATCAGCTCTTTTGCTGCTACTTTTGCTGCTACTTTTGCTGCTACTTCGGTCATCTTTGCGACGAATTCAATTGTCGGACTATTGTCGTGTTGTCGCGTATGTTTTTGTCGAGTCGGTGAAAACGCATACATGGTGGTATTTTTGTGTACACTAGTTTTCACAGTAACCTGTGAGATTTCATCATCTATTGTTGAAAATACGACTTGATGGTTTTCAAGCGCCCTTCTTGTCATGTGTGACATGTGAGACGCTGCTACTTTTGGTCTTGTTTGGATGAAGAATGCGTTGCAAAATCTTCTTGACGCCCGTAGTGATACCCAATTGCTGCATCTCGGCATTTGTCATCCAGCGCACTTCCTCGGATTTGGTTCCTGCCACCAGCTGAGGCTCAGACTTAAAGTGCAGGTGCTCGATGCCCATGTAATGCTTCACGTGCGAGAAGATGTGAATAAGCTCACCGACGTCACGTCTACTGGATTTAGAAAGTGCCGAAGCTTCGAGTACATTCATGAGCCTGGTGTTTATGAAAGCCTTACGCTTTGCATAAGGGGGAATTATGTCGCCATCACTCATCTGCACAACGCAAGGAACATAAGAACTTATAAGACAAGTGCATACCACTGCTCATTGTGTCATACCTTTGTATGAAGAAACTCCCATTGTCCAGCCAATAGGCCTCCCTTGGGACGTTTCGACATCAAAAACTTCCAGTCAGACCGAGAAGTGTCGTCGATGCTGTTCGCGGCCTTTCGCTTAGGCGCTACTGGATTCTCGACCGGTGTAGAAACTACTGCAATGCAAATGACTTCCTGTTTTGAGTCGTTCTTCTTTGCTTTCAGCGGGTACTTGGTGACCTGTGCCCACACACACAACAATGCCACAATTTAGTATTCGTCATTGTCCAAAACGCACGCAACTAAGCTCACTCCAGTCAGATTTGTGTTCCACTCCGAAACACGCGTGTAATCACAGATCGAACATTCATCAGCAGATACTTTGGCGGAGGTAGAACTTTCGTACTTGAGCTTGACAGCATTTGTGTCTTCCAATGCAAGACACACCGACTTGACAGGGCAGTCTAAGCATTGGGGGTTCTAGAACAAACATAGTTTTGTGTAAAAACAGAAGTCCCTGAAACCAATAGTTAAGGCAGTAAAAAATCGATGCGCTACTTGAATGGTGCAGATTGTAGCCCCAAGTTCCATTAGTGCCTGGTTCAACGCTCCCGGGCGATCGCACTCGCCTACAAGCTCGCTTGCTGCCTTCCAAGAAAATTTAATAAGCTGCTTATTCTTCGGGTCTGCACCAACAGCTCGTATTCGGGCCATCACTCGAATCACATTGCCGTCTACTAGTGGCTCACGGTTGCCAAAGGCGATGGATGCGATAGCGCCTGTCGTGCAAAGATAAACCGCGAATTGAGCTCACAAGACCAAGGCAGCAAGAAAGCGCTACATAGCTTCTACGAACCTGCCGTGTATGGGCCAATCCCTGGAATCGTTAGCAATTGGTCAACTGTGGACGGCAACTCGCCTTCATATTTCTCCATCACATACTTTGCACCAGCGTGCAACATCCTAGCACGTCGATAGTACCCCAATCCTGCCCACAAAGCGTTTACATCCTGCAATTACATTACAATTAACGTACAATCATCAGCTTTTGATTGAGTTTCAGTGTACATTCGAATATGCTAGCAACGTACGTCTTCATTGGCTTCAGCAAGAGTAGCCACAGTAGGAAACCTGTCGATCCAGCGCAAGAAGTACTCGACCACAGTGTCAACGCGCGTTTGCTGTAGCATAATCTCGGATACCCACGTCTCGTACGGTGTCACCTTCCTTGCCTTCAATTCACTGTCATAGTTGGTTGTAGCACTTGCAGCGACACTCCAATTGACATTCTGCTCCTGCTCTGACTCTGTAACAATTGGCGTCTTTATAAACTCGTCCAAACCTGTTTTCTTTCCTGTCACAACATATTTCTTCGCTTTCTTCTGACTGGTGTGCGTTGCAGTTGTTAAATACGGCGGTGGATCTCCTCGCCATGGAAGTTTCCGGCGATATACGTCATACCATTTCAGCAGCTCCATGCGAATGGCCAATAGCTCAGAAGACTGAAAATCATGTCGCAAATCGTTGTGATGAGTGGAAAAGAGCTTTGGATTCGATGCCACTGCGTCAGGGACGTCGCTCTTGATCAGGTCTTCAAGGTCCGGTTCACTTGCACCACTCAACGGCATTTTTAATTATTGTTTGGTGCTGGCTGATGAATAAAATACGGGACAATAATATTTTTCAGTCAACTTGACAGTATATACGCCACTTTTTATCTATTCTAAAAAAAACAATTCGCTGAATATTTTTTACAATAACGGATTAATAATAATAATAATAATAATGCAGCAGCAGCAGCAGCGTGTCGCCGTCTTGTCGCACGTGAAGACGAGCTCCGTACCATCAAGTCGCAATGGCAGCAATGCGCGTCGGATTGCATGGCATGGCGGTAAGATTGTGTCCAACAAGGCGGAGGCGATGCAGAAGTTTTACCAGCGTAAACTGCGTGCAGGCGACCGCTTGACGGCGCAGCAGATCGAGGCGATACAGGCGACTTGTACGTGGATTTGTCTTCAATAAGCAGACTTTGGGGTCAATTGTAAGCTAATGTGTAACTATTGGCTGTGTAGTGGGCTTGAAATTGGACGATGAGCGAGCTTATAACAAGTCCAAGATAAAGCTTGCGACCTACCGACCACATGCCAAAGTGACAGCGGTTGGAAACCACATTGTGCTGAAGACTGGACGCGTGCTTGGACCTAAGATTGATTCGAAGCAGAAAACCAAGAAAACAGGGCGCAACGGCAACGCAAAGTACCAGGCTGCGCATCCGCCCAAGCCGGTAACCGGCAAGATGTCGAAACAGACGGAGACGAGCTCTACTATCTCGCTGGAAGACAAGTTAGGGCTTCCCTTACGTGCATTAGTTGAGGGTCAGGCAAAGCGCAGTAGTAACACGACGCGGAGGTGAATGTGCAGGAAGAAGAGGAAAAACACTATTGGCGGGCTGGAACCTTATGACGGAATAAATACTACATGTTTTGCATCTTGTCCGGAGCCAATGTAGCCTGCAATGTGCTGTCTTCCGCCGCAGTTGAAGCTCTGCTGGAAAAGAACGACGCAGTTGCTGGAGCACGAAACGCGATCTTCAAAGCCTGTAGTAGCGTCGATACTTCGATGATTGTTAGCGTGTCTGCAAACTTTTTACGCAGTGCGCGACGCGTGGCTTGATCATGCTCTTTAGGAATCACGCAGACCTCCAATCCAATTTTCTGTGCTGCTGTGAGCCGCGATTCAAGCATTTTAACTGGGCGCAAATGGCCGGATAACGATACCTCTCCAAGAAACGCTGTTCGCTCCAATACAGGACGGCCAAGAACAGAGCTAGCCAAAGCTACTGCCAAAGCTAAGTCGGCAGCAGGTTCCTGAATAGTGTAACCCTCCGCGATGTTCACAAACACGCTCTGATTGCGGCAAGAAACTCTTGCTCGTTTTTCCAAAACGGCGAATAAGAGGAGTAGCTTGTCAAAGGCTACACCCACACCGCGTACGCGTGAGAAAGACTGACCACCACCATGCACAGCATTTACGTTGTGTGCTCGGTTTGCCAGGGCCTGAATCTCGATAGGAATTGGCCGCTTGCCTTCCATAGCAATGGTAATAGAGCATCCGTCAAGCGGTTGAATCTCGGGTTCCTCGATGCTGTCAGAATAGTCACCATCGTCCTCATCCTCGTCATGTGACGAAACAAATGCCATGAGAGGATTAAGCAGCGGCTTAAGGCCCTCGTCAGTCATGTTGAAGACACCAACCTCACTAGTATTACCGAAGCGATTTTTTTGGCAACGCAAGAATCGACGGGCACTCTGCGGGTCGCCCTCCAGCTGCAGCACAGTGTCCACAATGTGCTCAAGCACCCTAGGACCAGCGATGTCGCCACTTTTAGTGACGTGCCCTATTAGTATCACTGGCACGTTGCGTGACTTTGCTAATCGAAGCAAGCGAAGAGTGCACTCTTTCACTTGGTTCACTGAACCGGCCGGCGAGGCAATGTCTTCTGCATAGATAGTCTGAATTGAGTCCACTACAACAGCACCATATCCTTTGTAATCATCACTGCCCGCATCATGTCCGTTGCCTTGTTCCAACAACTGGAAAACCGAGTCCAGATTGGTCTCACTAGCCACAAACAAACTGTTGCTCACAGATCCAAGCCGCTCGGCTCGCATCCGCACTTGAAGCACACTCTCTTCACCCGATACATATAGCACTCCACGCGCCTGCATCGCCGGCCCACTTGCAAGCATGTTTGCCATCTGCAGTGCTAGCTATAAGACGCACAACATCAGCAAATAACTTCATATCCACTCTCAGAGTTTCCATGCACCAGTTGACGCACCGTGCTCTTGCCGACACCAGGATTTCCTGCTACTAGCGTCATCGAGCCGGCCACTAAGCCTCCTCCTAGCACCCAATTCTAGGTCAACAACCAAATGTCAAGAGCCTTTGCTATACAACTCCGTATTCGTAGACTTCAACCTACCAACTCGCGTTCTGATAATTCAATGCGATCTACGGACGTGCCCAACACAACATCGTTCATTCGTAGAGCATAAGGGACGTCCTCTTCAAAGACGTCGTCGCGTTTTGTGGACCAGGCCACAGCACGCTTCGGCTTGGATTTAACGAAGGATGCGGCGTTTGACTGTCGAAACAATGGCTCCACAGGCTTGGCGGATACTACAGAGCCCCACTGTGAGCACGACGAGCACTGGCCCTGCCACTTGACAAAAGTGTGGCCACAGGATTGACACTGAAAGCTGTTGGACGAAGTTGCAAATCTACGATAGTAAAGAGAACAAGGAGCAACTACTTTGGAGACTCTTAAATGATTGACATAAACGGTTCTGACGTGGCTGCACGAGGCAAAGGCATTGGCAGGACGCGTGAGACGAGTTGCAGCTGATCTTCGCAGCTTTGATACCCACATGACTCCAGAATGAGTCGTTTCGTTTATTTACAGTAGGAAAAATGTAAATATGGACGTGCTAATCATCCCCCACTTTATAGAGAACCAGCCTCCCCCAAATTTATCAAAAATCTGATTGTCAGAATGTTCAGCACCTAGTGGACGAAAGACGACGATGACGATAAGAATATTCATTTCCATTAAACCACAATGAACACTTCCGCAGCTAGCATATGCATTCCTGGAACAAGCATGCATAGCTCTAAGGTTATTGTAATGGGGCTACATTGTGGTTGTAACATTATACCGAAAGCACATTACGGCTGAAGTTTTTATATTGCATATCATGTATTCTTAATACCGATCCTGTAAAAAGGGGCAATATAGATGAGTGATATTATAGGGTATCAGTAATACCTTATACTATCAATATCGGTTTCATAACTGATACAGTAGTACTAAGTACAACATACACTGATGATTGGAGGATTCCATATCCAAATAACAGACAATGACATACTGTGATTACTATAATAGTAATTAATCTAGTGTAGGGTACTTAAAGTAGGACTATTCATAAAATAGTAATGCGTAAATAACATCACTTCTCATTTTGAGTTTAAGAACGCAAGTCTCTCTAAGACTTATTCTCCTGTGCACTTCGTGCGTTGGTTTCATGAACCTTTATGCTCCTAGCTTGTTCTTGCACTCTGTGCGTTGGTTTTCTGAACCTTAAGCTCATTGCTTGTAGACTAGAAGTCCCTCCTAGTTTCTTCGAACAGGGTGACTTCTAAGTCATTTGATTAGTTCCTTAGAACTAAGTGGCTTTAAGCCGTCAACTCTAATTAGTTCTATAGAACTAAGAGGCTTTCAGCCTAAAAAGTCTTCCTCTGGCTTAAGAGCTGTGTAGCTCCGCTACCCTTTGTAGAACGTAAAGTCAATCCTACACCTGAGTCTCTAAGACTGACCCTTTGTAGTCAAAATCACCTCTCGGAGGCTCAATGACTCGCGCTAGATACATATTCTGCATTCGTTGGGCCCGATCAAATCGAGGTTCTTTTGGCCCAAGGTCTGGAGGTCCTCAATGCTCGCCTTGAAGCCTTTATGCGTTGTGAGGTAACGCTACTTGGGCAGGTCCACGACCAGGCAGCGTCAGCTGCGACAACGCACTACATCCCGGCTCCTGTGTTCGATTTAGAGCCAAAGGCTCGCCCACTCGTTTTAAACGTTATAACTTTTGAGGGGAAGGAGGGAGAAAATCTTCTCCTCTGGATCCGAGAGGTTGAAATGGCAATGGATGCCGCCATGCTCGTGTCAGAGAAGCAACGATCTGGCTTGGACATTTCGAAACTCGGTGGAAAAGCTAGAGAATGGGCTCTAACGAGCGGTGTCTCTGTAAATGCTGCATTTCCCACATGGGAGATGCTTAAAAAGCAATTAACCTGCGTGTTTGCACCGCCTAATCAGGTTTATCGTGTGCGCTCCCACTTCTTAGGGTAAGAAAGAATTGTCGGACTATTTCCAAGAGTTACGAACTCTCATTGCTGCTATGCAGCAGGACTCTCTGGCAGAGGAAGTCCGAGTAACCATCTTTATGGAAGGAATTCGTACTGGGGTCGTCAGAAAAGATTTTTTTCGTGTCCAGCCTTCGACTTTCGAAGAGGCAGTGAGCATAGAGTTTAGCGCTGAGTTCAACTCCAATCTGCTTGCTATGGTCTACCAAGGTATAATTTAAATGCCTTTAATAAGGCCGAACCCATAGACCTCAGCCAGGCTGAAGAAGCTGAGCTTCAAGCTGCTGAGCAGCAAGGTAACATCCGTAGATTTTACATGTGCGGAAGCACTAGGCACCTCCGCCATAGCTGTCCGTTGCGAAGTCAACGTTCAAATCGGCAGAGCCGAAATCCTACTCGTAGCCAAAAGGCGAGCACGGCAGGGGAAAACGTCAACTCCCAGTAGGCGCGGGGCGCCCTACTGGGAAAGAACTAAGTTCTGTTGGATCTTTAGGAGGTAAAGGTAAACAGGGCTCAGCCCCAGGTGGTTATGTGGATGCTCCCATAGAACAAGATTACAAGCCAGGCTTGTTGGTTGTGTCGGCAACCGTTAAGGGTTTTGAGAAACCATGGTCAATTTTAATTGACTCAGGGGCGTCAGGTAATTATGTCCGACGTCGTTCCTTTAAAGGTAGTCAGCTGTATGCTGAGGCGCTAGAAGCGCAAGAGATAACCGAGCGCCTCGCAACAGGTGTACGTGTCACCGTTCCTAAAGTTCCGTGGAACTTAGGTGTGAAGTTCTTAGACTTCAACCTTGCAATATTAAGGTAAAGTGATGGGTAAGTCTTCTGAAGTAACTCAATACTAACAATTATAATGTTGAACGCTGTCTTGTCCTAGATTTGGACTCGAGATATGATCTCATTCTCGGTATGTTATGGCCTGGCTAGAACGCCATGAGCCATATTTGGATTGAAGATTCAAAACTATAGTCGCAACGCGCAATGTTCTTAGCGAAGCTTTGGATAGTCATGAACCCACCTTTGCTAGGAAACAAAAGTGCTATTGGCGCGAGCCATTAACTGATTCAGTTAGTGTGCTGGACATTGGAGTGTCTGAGTTGATAAACTCCGATGTCAACAATAATAGTGTCGAGCAGAGCTCAGTGACACCTAGTGGAACGGCACGTACTCCGCTGAGTGATACTTAAAGTAATATTGATTTACTGGATGTCGGTAATGACATCGGCTCTCGTAAAGAGCAAGTTAAGATCGATGACCTTGTTAGTGATATTGGCTGTAAATGCGATTCACTGGATGTCGGTAATGACATCGGCTCTCGTATAGAGCAAGTGAAGGTCGATGACCTTGTTAGTGAAGTCATTGACCCACTGGATGTCGGTAATGATATCGGCCCTCGCATAGGGCAGGTGAATGACAAGGGGTCTGTTGACCTTGGGGATGATGGTATCTCAAGTACTTTAAAAAGTACGGTCTCGTCAATGAGACGGCAGCGTCGCCAGATGGCGGCTGCGAGACGCAAAGCGTCTGTTTTATCGCATAGTAATGTCAATGACCAGTTGTACACCCTGGTCATCGGAGGGACAGGTGATGTAGATGGTGAAGTTTTCCTTGAGATCCTCCCATCATTAAATTCTCTTTAAGAGCTAGACAAAATGTCTGTGGATGAGTTTCATCAAGCCTTGAAGGCTGGTGATCTATCCGATATGGTGGTCATTCGATCTAACCTCGAGTTGAACTAATCTTCGCTTGCCGATGAGGCAGCCCTTAAAGATACAAAGGCGGCACTTAGTGCACGTAGTGTAATATCTATTTTGAAGAATTCTTCAGATCCTTACTACCCTTTAGTTAAGAAATTTCAGAACGTGATGTTCCATGATCCAACGTCTGTTCTACCTCCTGATAGAGGTGTACGTCATGCAATTGACTTGGTTACCAGAACCAAATACTGCGTAACACGGCAGTGGCCTTTACCCAAAGAATAGTGTGACTTCATTGACGAATTCTTTCGTGCAAAGCACGTGGCGTGTATGGTGCGCGAGAGCAAATCTCCGCACTCTACACCCACTTTCTGTGTCAAGAAACCGAATGGTAAGTGGCGTATTGTTCATGCTTATAATCAGCTCAATGCAGCCACTATACCTGCACAGACACCGATACCTAGAAAGGATGTTCTTCAGAAAAATATGGTCTGTTGTACCATGTACAGTGCGCTCGACGTAGTCGATGGTTATTACCAATTGCTCATGCAAGCTAGCGATATTCCGCTCACTGCTGTTAGTACTCCGAGCGGTATGCTCTGGGAGTGAATGGTGATGCCCCAGGGGCTGTCGAATGCTCCGGCTACGTTTAGCCGTTTGGTGACGCACTTGTTTCGACCCCATCGAAATTATGCACCGCGTACTTTGATGACATTTTTGTCCATAGTTGTGCTGAACATGGGCGTTCGGATACCGAGAACCATATTGCTCATTTACTAGATGTGCTCGAGTGCATGCGAACTAATAAGCTATATGCTAATGCATCGAAGCGCATCTTCGGGGCCGAAGAGTTCCCCTTTTTAGGGTGCTTTATCGGATAGCGAGGCCTCCCTGCAGATCCCGCTAAGGTCAAAGCCATAGTCGATTGTCCCGTTCTATAGTCTCAGAATGACATGCGTAAATGGCTTGGCCTTGCCAATTACTTGCATAAGTACAGCAAAAATTACGCTGATATGGCTCGGCCATTATCAATCTCTTTAAAAAGGATGTGGAATGGTGTTGGCATGCCGAACATAAGGATGCTTTTCAAGCGGTGAAAGCTAGCCTTCTTCATTCTCCCACTTTAGCTTTGCCGGATCCTGACCGACCGTTTAGCGTCATATGTGACGCGTCAGACTTTGCCATTGGCAGTGCTCTGTTACAAACAGATGATGAAGGTCGTGAGCGTGTGATCGCTTTTGAATCTCTCCAGCTGAAAGCTGCAGAGAAGAACTACACAGCTCATGACAAAGAGCTACTTGCGATGAAGTATGCCCTGGTCAAATTCAGAGTTCATCTGCTGGGCTCATAGCCTTTTGTGATCTATAACGATCATGCGTCTTTACGCACTGCGACTCAGTCGCCGCATCTCTCGCATAGAATGGCCAGATGGCTGTCATTCTTTGCCGAATATAATCTCGAGGTAAAATATAAGCCGGACAAGCAAAATGTTTTGGCTGATGCGTTGTCACGCAGACCTGACTACGAGCTTGCTTATGACACGACGTTGACGTCTTCTATCATTAATCTCATTCGATCGGTGTATGCTAAAGATGATCATTGTATAGCGCTGCTACATGCTCTTGGAAGTGATTAGTTTAAAGACTCGGACATTAAATTGTCGGCACGATTACGTGCAAGCCTCCATCGATATTCTATCTATCAGGGGTTATTGTACTATTGTACAGATGTGGCGGATCCTCCGCGGATTGTGTTTCCTCATGATGAGGACCTGAAGTATCGTATCCTCTATGAGGTACATGAAACCG